ATCCTGTGAATGCGACGCGCCTGGCGTCTCTGAAACCAGAACTAAACACCAATCGCAAAATCTACCTGCAGATAGCTCTCTATCCATTCACTTCACACAATACAATGAGATGAGTATAAAGTCCGCTACAGGGTTTCCACGTCAAAGACTAGGATAGACGTCAGATTCTCTCAATACAATGCCCTCGTTTTGAACACAAGGTGGATAGAAGTGAACGAAGACTACTCGGTCAGACAGACGTCTATCTGGAAGCTCAAAGCATCCAGCAGATCACCCCCCAATAGTTCACCGAGTTCCAGAGCTTATCCTTCTCGTCTTATTTGCACTCATGTCGAAAGAGGCTTCGTGAGGATCAGAATCTCAACATCAATGAATCTGCCTTGCGTGAACGACCCGCTCAGGAGAGGTGCTTGGGATCTTGGAGGGTCTTGTTAGCTATCTGCCTACTCGCCGGCATGCCGGCATGCCGATTTGAGTATTTTGAAGAGCCATCGGTATTAGCGTAAATCTACGGATGTGAAGATTAAAGGGAAGATAAACAGGTCGCTCTTGTGTGAATGTATCGGGATTTTATCCCATGAGAGTCTAAATCTCCATCATCTAACCTTAAAATATACAGGCTATTAAATCTCTGGAACGCTTTTTTAGAATTTAGAGAGAATTGCTTGATTACATTCTTATCAATATTTTCACTCCGAATTTCCAGCTACCCGACTCCTAATCTCATCAGCCTTGTATTCTATTCCCATAACCCCAAATCCAAATCCCAAATCCCAAATACACAGCATCCCCATCCCCATCAATTCCCAGCCCCCACCTTCCCTCTAGAAACCTCCTTACTTCATCTATCCATAAGTTGTATCGAAATATACGAAAACTCCCATCATCACAAATCCCTCTTCCTCATCTTCCATACTTCAAACTACACAAATACCCTCACACCCCAATCTCCTTATCTCTCCCATCCACGCCAATAAAAAAGATCTTTTCCCATCCACCCACACTCTCGCTCATTCATTCAATCACAAGACATCCAAACTCCCCATCCTATCCCATCCCATCACCATCTCTCGCATATCGAGATACAAAAGTCTATATATCTTTTACACTCATTCACTTTCAATCACACGCCAGTATAATGCTGTGAGTAGAAATCCTTCACTTGGGGATTCGGAGGGTTGGGACATGCGATCTTAGGTGGTTTGGGACTCGATCGGGACTTTGAAGTGGGTATATGACAAAGAGATGGGAGTGAGTGATGAATGATATTTAGAGCCTGGGGAATGAGTGTGTGGAGAGGGGAGAGGGGAGAAGGAAGAAATGTAAATTGAAGGGAGAAAACATGGTGAAATGATCTTGGTAAAAGTGAGAGATGACTCTACGAGCCCTTCACATTCCGTAGGCTTTCAGTATAGAAACATATCAAACATCAAATCATCTAGTAACTCCCGACAGAAGTCCGGCCCAGAAAATTCTTTCAAGTCTTTATTACATTGCTCTATTTAATTCTAATGTTTCCTTCTAGATCTCTTCTATCTTAATTACTATACAGGACGGAACCTCATATTCTATATTCGACCAGTGGACAATAGTAAGGTCCGAGTCCAAACTCCTGTCTTCTATCTATTACCCATTCTCAAAACACCGAACCCAGAACCTGTCCCATTTTCCCAAGAAACCAATAGCTAAACCATATCTCTGACATTCCCAATGGGTCTCATAAAATAACACCTTGAATTGACCAAAGTCCTCACAGTATCACTCCTCGGCCTCAACGGCCACTCCCTATTTTCATATACATCGTTCGTCAAAGCCCTCATACTCAAACACACACTCCCACTTCCGAGAGGCCACTGCGTCTCATCTGTCTCCGTCATCGACTTTGTTTTGCTTCTCGTCTCCACCTCCGTACTCTCTATCCTTTCATCCGGAAGCTCTTCGACCGTAACATGTCCTCCCGCTGTCTTCTCTCTCTTCTTATCTCCCGATTCCCCCTCACAAAAAAAATCCTCATCCACCTCTCTGATGCCAAACCCCGACATCTTCAACACTCCCATCACGCCGACGCTCCCCATTCTCCCTCGACCCATGCCAAGTGTACTTCTAGAACTTCTTGCACTATCCAAAAGAGTACTGCGAGTAAACGACGTAAAACTTGAAACCCTCGAATCTGAATCAAAAGCCGTATATGTAGAATTTGAATCTCGATATGTAGAAGCTCGTTTATTAGCGATGAGATTCATATTGTATATATAATTTGGTCTTTCGGTATAGGTAGTTCTGTATGGTTGAATTTGGCCGAGAGATTCATTGGGATAAAGTGAAGAGAAAGTTTGGGGGAAAAAGAGACGGAGAAGAGGACGGAGAGTCGCGCCACTGAATGCAATTATTCCGAGTCCGGGCTCAATCGTGGACCACTGGATAAGGATTAGTATGGAGAAATTAAAACATGGTTGAAATATCGCAAGTGCACATACGATGGCTATATCTGTGGTTGCGTATAGAAAATCATTCGTGATCGGTAGGTCTTTGATAAAAGGTATACGTATTATTGTTGTAACTCCAGCTCTAGTTTTATATATCAAATCTTATTCACAGTTTGTCGATTTATGAATGACTTACAGTAAACCAAGAGAAAGAACACCGGAGATAGAGAGTTTGGCCTTCATACTCATCTTCAAATCCCACATAACCCAGATAGGCAAAAGACCAAGCGTCCAGTCCACAGTAAACCCTATAACAGAATGTGCTACGCTGGCTGCTGGAACTATACTGCTATCTATGCAGAAGCCTGTTGCACCTTCATATTGCTTCCAGATATAGTCAAATGGGGTGCATTGACGAAAAACGAGAACAATGAATATTATGGTAAAAGTAATGACAGAAGCTTGGGTTACGTAGATGATGCTCTTATGTAGTGAGCGAGTGGACAATCTGAGAAGAAACACAGAGATTGAAAGGCGTACAAAAAGAGTTGTGAGGGCAAAAAGGCTCCTGAGTAAAACATTAGCGATGGTTTAGGAGTTGGTTTCCAAGCTGGAATGTAACAATGCAACATGATAAGTTTCCTCGAGACAAGAAAGCTGGCATACTTACTCGTCAAACCACCATGCCTGGAGAGCTCTGGGGAGATCTTCACGTGAAATCTGATCAATATGTTGTCCACTACCGAACCTCACAGATCGTAAGCCTGCTGTGCCGTACAGAGTGTATAGAAACTGACTCTATTAGTCAAGGGAATGAATTTGGAAGGAAGAACTGACGAGTGACACCGTAAGCAAAGAATCATCAAAACTCCAAGATTTCGTAATGAAAAAGCGGACAATAACCCTAAGAGAAACGAACAGCCACGAAAGTCCCATAAAGACACAAAGAATAACAGCTGAACAACATTTAGCCTTGATGAGAATCATCTATCATGTTGTGATGTAAACTCACCGATTTCAGGACCTCGATCTTCCGCCATTATATAACAATGACTGATGGGACGAAATATTACAATCAATTATGTTTGAAGACATCAATTCTCCTCAACACACCATATTTTTCATGAATTTTGATGATATCTACATATAGTAATATCGAGAAATCTCATCTAAGAAACGGGATGAATGCACTAGAGCTTTTCCCCATATCTATACATGTGCATGCAACTTCGTGCATTCGTGCATTGAACCGTTACTATCCAGTATGGTATTTTGATAAAGACCTCTTTCGCAGGTGGACATATATCTACCATCGCACTCAATAAAGGCAAGATCTTCAGGTACGCGTAAATAAAGTTTGTGATTCGATAAAAAAAGTCTAGTTCGACTTTAGTACGCGAGCTAATGCCGGTAAGAAGCTAAAGTATCAAGCGAGACGGAAAGATGGATATCTTCTGTAATCGGGAAGTCTACTAAGGCTACAAAGCTATAGTAGTGAATACGAGAGGCCCCATTGGACCTAAATTTATTAAAGAGAAAGAGAAGATTTGGATGCACAGAAGAAATGTGGGGGTGCGGTTCGCTCAAACTTGGCTTCAAGATTGACTTAATGATTGAATCATCAACTCCACGTCCTCCTACGGACTGTATACTGGAGTAATGCTCCCCACAATTGAAGCAAAAACGCACCAAATGAGGTGTAGGTATCCGACATTGAAACAACTTGCGTCGAGTCCCAAAATCAACAACACAACATTGACATGCATCATACTCCCGGTAAAAGGTATGGTCGTCGAAATGACGCACGTCTACCTCGTACGATTGCCTGGCAATCCTGTACCTTTGGTTCCTTAAGTTGACACAATTTTGGGAGCGGCCGATAAGTCTTCGCGGCTAATGAATTGGGGGAGCGGCGTGCCGTAGGCTTGCGGAGCATATACCGAGGCTTTCAACGCTTGGGAGACGGGCCCACGGAAATAGTAAACAAAATCTCGGGCTGTTTAAACTTTATTCCTCATCTAGATTATAGTATTCTAGGTGGAAATGAATGCCGACCAAGAAGAAATTTGCGATGAAAGCATCCATGTCTTGGCTATAAGTGGCCAACTTCCCGCCCCAAATTTAGTAAATTTTAAGACTACGTCGAAGTGGAATATTTCCTACGGTCAATTTCGACCTAAACTTCTCCTTCAGCTTTTCGATGAAAATGTTTTTCATGTCTGTTACCAGAGTTCAGGAAGTCACAACGATTTGTTGTGGCTGTTGAGACTTTTGGGCGCATGATGGCAGTTCCATTTTTAGCCTCCAAAATTGTTGATAGTAGGTAGGTGGTGTAATCTCTTTTTATGCACAATTCCATTCAGTGATTCCAAAATGCTAAGCATCAAAAAGTGGAATCACCTTCGTACATGCCACATAATGCGAATTTCGTGGATCACCGTATCAGATGAAAAAAAAAACCTTATTTTAGAATCACTGAGTCTAGATTTTTTGAAGCCATGAACGGCAAGAAAAAGCTTGTTCTGGAAGGTGTCCGAGATCTTCATTTGTGTGTTTCCTCAGTTCGCTTAGGGGTCAAGGTGGTGTGGGAGGCTTTGGAGGAGGTGTATGTATTAGAGAAGGTATAGCTATAGTTTCGGACGAGACTACGATAAGGGGCGAGGTCTGACTCTCGGATCTCGAGGTATCATACCGTGTAAGATTATGATGAACCTGCGAGGGAACTTCAAGGGTATCCCGGCGCGCCCTTGGCTTATCGCTGTTTGCTGACGAAGGAGAGAATTGGGACGTTGGCGACCGAGGTGACGCGGGCTCGGCAGTCCCTGTGCCACACTCAATGTCAAGCGCTGAGATAATACTGCCATTTATGCTAGGTGCTCGAGAAGGACGCAAGACGGGAGTGATATTTCCGTCGGCATCGCGGGTTTGATTGTACGCTTCCCTAATATGTGGAAGCTTTGGATTTCGCTGATCTTCTCCAGGAATTTCTGGAAAGTCAACAGCTTTTCCATGTTTGAATTCGGAGTCGTCTAGACGGAACTCTGCCGCAGTACCAACATAATTACCGATTGCAGTTAAAACATTGGCTACTTTCCGTCTGTTTCCCACGTCTGTTGATGACTTGGTTAGGCCAAGTGAAGGCCGATTACTTGAAGTCTGCGCTATTTCGTGATGCTCTATCTCGTGAGAAGTTCTTCCACTGCTATTTGAACGGCTTCGACGCATCATTTCAATGGCATCTGGAGAGGGGGATGGCGATAGATCTGGGGCAATGCCCAGACCAATCCCCCGTTTTTGGAACTCGAGATGCTTTGAAGTATTTTTATATACGTCCTCTACGCCTGCCTCCATATTTGCTGCCAGGAGACGGTATAAGGACCCGAGGACTGCTAAGCCAGTGCCTACAATGGGTGCCCATTGACCTATGGAAACGAACAAGTAGAGTCAGCAATGTATCATGTCTATATAAAGGTAGGTGGGTACGTACCGATAGTTGCTATGGGCTCAGTTTGATATGCGACTTGTTGGCTGAAAAAGTTTCTCTCCCCAAGAATAAGGATAGCCAGCACCGCACCTACGAATACGGGAACTTCTATAGCACTTAGGAAAAACCTAATCAAGCTATTGACCTCTTTCATTTTTCCGACAGTTGCATTGTTGGTGCCCTCAATCGGCGCATCAATAGGTTCTTCTTTATGGCCGAAACGATTGTTCCAGTTTGTCTCACGGATTTTGTTCCACATAGACACAAGTGAGAGTATAGCAGGAATGCAGCATGCGGCTGAGAGAAGAGTAACAGTGTCGAAGGTGAGTTTGTTCGGTGCAGGAATAACGTAGATATTATTCGCCGAGCCGCCGCGCATTGGAGAGAAAGGGCCAGAGGTGACATCACAAGTAAGACCACATGTCGAACCATAGGTGAAATTTCCTCGAGTGAAATAGGCTGGATGCCCGTCATTATTGATTAAGCAAGGACTTGTGCTTACCCTAATGAATTCCACAGTTAAACTCAACAGGCCTTGCAAGAAGATTGAGTATTAGCAAATTCCAAGTGAAATGTTGAAGAATAATACTTACCAGCAAATATCAATCCAGTCCATAAAAAGATGGTGTTTCGGCCGGGTGTTTCAAAAAAGTATGTTCGTGATAGCTTCACAGTTATCGGTGCAGCTAAAACACCTATGGAGCACAGTTGGAAAGCTCCGTATATATCCATATCAACCGCACCTAAACCATGATTAGTCAAACAAATGGGACGATTTCTCTTATTATGAGGTACTCACCATCCACGTGGACCGCTGCAAGCACTATTCCATGAAGTGCAGCAACGGCGGGGAAAAGCAATGCAGCTGCCAAACAAGCTTCTTTCAGCCATTGTTGTTTGCGAAGAAAAACACATGCTGCTACGAGAACATAGTATCTGTAGAAAGAAGAATCTAGATGTCAGAAGCCTGGAACTTTTTTGCAGTATTTTCATAGAGTGGAGTGGAGTTTTCTTGGAGAGACTGGTGGAGAGATAGAGAAGCTTACAGAACCCGGGAACCTGGCCCATACTGACCAGATACAGGCCATGCGCACACGACTTGCAATACATCACTTGTAGCATTTGTGACGGTGTTATTATTGACTATTGTATTATTCAATGAGGTCAAAGGGATCGCCGGCATGACCATTTGTCTACTTTCGAACGAGATGAGTTCATCGACTTGCAATCAAGTCAATGATAGTATTAGATATCCTTAGGGCAATTGAACATGCATCGAAATCTCTCTTGTGTAGAATATGAGAAGAAGAGAAGCGTTGGACGTTCTTAAGGCCAAATAAGCTTATCGGCCAAGAAAGCCATGTGTGTACTGGAGGGAATTGTCTTTACGGCGTCATCCGTCATCCGTCATCCGTCATCCACCGTCAGAAGTACCTAGGTAATAAGATTGACTGGCATCTCTGTAGCCCAGCCTCATCGTTCTCAAAAGTAGGGCGGGTGTGGCTGAGGGCTTGGTATCCCTTCCAGGTTGGAGGCAGTCCGTAATCAAACAGATCAAGGGGTGCAAAGTGAATAACGATAGAGCTGAAATTTCCATATCTACCTGGTGAAACAATGTATGTACGTAGATTTGGATCACCCGGGCTCTGGGGTACGTAGCTGCAAAGACGATTAATGGTTGGTGGTCGATGGTCAAAAATGTACGGGAATTCGGCTGCCTAAGCATCGGAAAGGTTGTTTGGAGTGGTGGGAAGAGAGAAAGGTTATTAACGTTCGATTGCTTGGTAGAGAATTATGTGGTTTAATTGGTTCAAATGCGAGGGTGATGGCAGAAGTAAGAACATGAACATTTTGCCTTCCTAGGTAACCTTAGGTATCGAAAACATCAAGATATTACACGAAAACCTCCGAGTTGATATATATAACTAACTATAGTTACATAAATCTAAATAAGAGAAGACTTATTAATACTCCCTCTTCAAAATATGGATTAACTAATTCTTTTCATTTCAATGATAGAATGTTGACAGTCACGTGATAGTACTTATCGCTTATCAGGTTTTCTGGTGCTTTCTTTTTGAGTAGTCTGGTAGTCAGTACGAGAATTACCCAGAATTATCATCATTATTCACTCTGTCTCTGGTAATCTTACATACAATTTGATGTTTTGATCTTAATGCCCATTGTCATTACATTTGTGTACCCATATATCTACACGTTTGAATTTTCGAAAACATCTAGATTCGCCCTTCAAATCATCATCCAGTTTTTTCCTGCAGTCTCTACCTGCCCAAGGACACTTTCACAAGGCATAAGAAAATCTGCACAAATCTACAATAAGCGTGATCAGCCTAATCCATTCAACCAAGGCAAAGGGCGATATACACACCAGAAATATTGCCAACATGGGTCAAGAAGCGTCTCAACCTCAAATCAATCCAAATGATCCTCCCCATACGCTTTCAGCCCGTTCAATCGAAGGAGTCGCGGATTTCATCAAGAGTGGCAAAGCAAAGAACATCGTTGTTTTGACAGGAGCTGGTATATCCACTAGTGCGGGCATACCAGATTTCCGTTCACCAGAGACCGGTATTTACGCCAATCTTGCCGAACTGAATCTTCCTTATGCAGAAGCGGTTTTCGATATCGACTTCTTTCGCGAAAATCCAGCTCCTTTCTATGTTCTGGCAAAAGAACTCTATCCTGGCAAATTCTACCCTACAGTATCACATGCTTTCGTTGCGTTGATCGAGAAGAAGGGATTGCTCAGAATGCTTTTCACACAAAATATTGATTGTTTGGAACGTCGAGCCGGGGTCTCTTCGGAAAAGGTCATCGAAGCACATGGAAGTTTCGCTACTCAGAGGTGCATTGACTGCAAGACTGAATATCCCGACGATATGATGAAGAAAGCTATAGAAGATGCAGACCCAGCAACTTGTCTGGTTCCACAGTGTGGTGGTTTAGTTAAACCAGATATTGTGTTCTTTGGCGAACAACTACCGGAAGCCTTTCACACTCACAAAATGATTCCCGCTACTGCTGATCTTGTCATTGTGATGGGCACCAGCTTGAGTGTTCAGCCATTCGCAACATTGCCAACCCTTGCCCCCGAGACGGTCCCAAGACTGCTGTTTAACATGATCTCCGTAGGCGATTTTGGCAGTAGGTTGGATGATGTGGCTGTTCTTGGTGACTGCGATAGTGGCGTTAGGAAACTAGCAGATGTCTTGGGATGGAGAGACGAATTGGAAGAATTGTGGGTTTCGGTTGGAGGGAACACAAAACAGAAAGAGGCTGAAAAGGCTGAGGAAGCCAGGCTCAATATGTCAAGAGATGAACTTTTTGAAGCAGATATCAAAGAGCTGACTGGTGAAATTGATGAAGCACTAAAGTTTTCGAGTAGCCATACAGATAGAGTAAACGCCGATCTCCAGAAAACCCCGGCGGTAAAGTTGGCATCCTCTACTTTAGCTCCTGAAGATATGCCGTCGCTACCACCTACAGATTTTGCTGCTGAAAAGGTAAGAACTCCCCGTTTTGTACCATAGCTCAACTTTTTGATATAGTTGAGTCTTCAACCAGCAGGACTAACTAGATATAGGGTTCACTTCTGGCAGATATCACGAATGGAATACCACTGCAAAAAGCCACGACTGTTGTTCGATCCACTCCAATAATACACGAGAAAGAAACTGCAACTAAATCCACGTCCGCGGATCTAAATTCCACCACTGATGAGCGCGCTAAAGACTCAAGTGTTATGCTCGACGTCACTATGCCTCAAAATATGCCAAACTCATCCAATACCGCCACAACTCCTTGATCATAAAAACCAAACCTGCTACTAAGACCAAGGCTAGAAGAATGACAGAGTGATCATATTGTGTGATTTGAACATCAAACTATCCCTTAACTTCACTACTTCAAGCGGTACATCTCCGTAAGATGTCATTAACAGAGCTGGCTCTGAGGTAGAAAATTAGTACGTACTTAGGAATGAAGCAAGGGAATTATTGTCAGTCAGAGCTATTAAATGAATTACGCTTTCACGTCAAATTGAGGATTGTGAAATCTATATGGGTCCCATACTCAGATGCTCTCGAACCAACTGACTTTACTTCAATGGATAGGAGGTGTTCCAATCGGACTGATGATTTTAGGTTTCCTTTGTATGTGTTTATAATAACTTCAAAATATTTGATTTATTCCTACGGCTCCTTTTCATAAATCAGAAAGTGCTAAACATAAATATGGGCGTGGAAATAAATGCAAAATCAGATTTTTCATCATAAACATGCTTTGCAGAAGTTGCGTAGCCTTTCCATCTCTTATTCCATTCCATGACCGACTAAATAGTTGCAAGAAATACTTTCAATGTATTTCATTGAAGTCACCGGAATTGGAATTGTTCGTTTAGAGCGGCTGCTTAAACAAACAAAGAGCCTTATCACATTCTTTTATCTCTTTTCAGAGAAAGCTTTGTTCAACAATTTATGAGCCCTGTCTCGAACACTGTACATGACAATCCATCTCGTTCTTTTCTGCACTTCGATTGAAACAACCTGTTTTGTTATCCGTGGCATATTGAATATCCGTAACAAGTAATGGCAGAAGAAAATGCCTACAATCCCGACCTTGACCAGGACCTCGAATTCTACGAAGGACCAGATCCTGCCGAGCATGTTGGGATGCCAGCGGATATACGAGCGCCCCGGAACCCCCTTGCATTGCGTGATATTGGGCTGCGGCGTCGTCGGAGACGATGGCTGGACAAGACCTGGACGTGGAATGAACCATTAAATCAGATATATGGAGGTGTGAGAATTCTCTCAAGTCAGAGTGATTGTTTAGTAGGCTTTTGGAGAGCGGAAACACAATTTGGACCAAAGAATATAGTTGTGAAGCAACGTCCTTGCTCGTTTCGTAATTTGAAAGACCCGATGGGACAAAAGTTGTCAGATGAGTCAAAGAATTATGAGAATTTACAATCGCGACTTCCACCTGGTCATAACCATCATATTGTGAAGCTCTTCAAGCGAGCCTGGGAAGATGAAGGGAAAAACACTTTGAGTCAGGACGTGGGGCGAGTGGAAAGAATGATATTGGAATGCTGTAATAGTAGCCTCGATGATTTAATAGGTTGGAACATGAGGCATAATACGAGGATCTCTGAACGAAGCTCGTGGGAGATCTTTCACTGCATTGCTCGGAGTCTACTTATCATGAAGCATGGTACCGAAGATCCGGCTGATTACCGTCGACAATACGACCCTAGGGGCAAGGATCTTAACATTGTCCATTTTGATCTCAACCCGCAAAATATATATATCAAGGACTTCCCACATCCAACACATTTAAGAGATAGAGGCTACGTGCCTGGTTCTTTTCGACGAGCGGCTAAAATCAAGATTCCTCAAGATGAAGCTTACCATCGAAAACATGGCAATTTAGGGAATGTCAATTCACGTGCCCCAGAACAATTGCGCGCGCGTGACATGATGGACAAAAGACCATGGTTGCAAAGTCGGGCCACTCATCACAAGGCTGGAAAAGATAATACACTTCAATCGGTCGTCTACACATCGAAAACGAATGTCTGGCAAGTTGGTTTGATAATGTTTTGTATAATACACTGTAGGACATCGGTGAATTGGAACGATCTTGAAGCAAAGAGAAGTGATGGTACACCTAGACTCGTTGATGGAGGGCCTACTATAATGAGTAAAGCCCATGGATGGGAGAGGTTGAACAGGGATCTGAACCTTCCATACAGTCGAAGCTTGCTGTATGCTATCTACGAGTGTCTTTTGATTGAGCCCTCGAATAGACCAGATGTTGCAACGTTGTTTGAAACCACAAGAGCTGGCCTTGCTCAAGCGAACATGGAAGCTGGCTTTCTCCCACCAGATCTGGCCGTCGCTCAACCAGACGCTCAACCAGAACCAGCACCACCCGCTCCTCTCGATCCTCGGCAAGTTCCTCTTCCAGCCGCTCCTCCCGAGCAAGTACGTCCTCCAGCTGTCCCTCGAGTGGCTCCCGTTATAATGAATCCAGAATTAGACCTTGAAGCTGGACCGCCAGAACCCCGTCTAGCACCTCCACCAGTACCCCGACAGCCACCTTATGATCCTCCAGCACCCCCACAAGAAGAACCACCTGGCCGTGCCAACGTGAATCGAGCCGAAATTTATGATCCCCCAGCAGTATTATATGCCGAGGCCGACGAGCTTCCTCCTGCCTACCAGCTCCAAGCCCCCGAAGGCGAAATCATGCCGCAGCCCGAATGGGGCGAAGGCCTCGAGCGTCCAGCGCCCAACTACCCCGAGCCTCCCGCGTACGAAGAGTATAATCAGCCTCCGGTCGAGCCGCAACCTCAGCCTATAAATCAATGCCTACCCAGACACCCTCGTGCTCCACGTCAAAATCTACTTCCTCCTCTCAATCTCCCCAGAGGCCTCCAAGTGGGTCCCGATAATCCCGTACTCATGGCCGTTATACCCCCTGAGTATCTCCCCTCTATCCTCATCTGCCACGTTATAGAAAACGATCTCTTCCATCGACAAATCGGCAACATATATCTACGGGATTTACACCCTGCGACGTCATTTTACGAAATCAAAAACATGTTGGTGGCAGAGGGACTAGGTATTGAGAGAATGAATATAAGGATTCGAGTAGATGACGGGGGAGCGCAGCGAGAATTGGCGGATTGGGAGAGGAGGATGACTTTGGGAGATGGGGTGGCGGTGTTGGTGGATAATCCGAATGGAATGGTGTTTAGAGAGATGCGATGAGAACCCCTTTGATGGGAGTGGGAGTTGGGGTTTGTATATTCCCTTGATGATGATGATGATGATGATAATAATAATAATAATAGATCCTCAGATGAGGAGAGCTATGGTAGATTTTCTTGGATACGGGTATCTACCCATTACGTGATATAAAAATTGTCATATTTAATACATTTTGAAGCGAGGAATGCTCCTTGTTGAGCATGGAAAGAATATAGAGTTCCTATACACTTCGTACTCTCGATGATCATAAATTCAGAGTCAGTCCATGGTTTGCCTTGAAATTGGTAGCAAATCTTATATATGTGCTGAGAATTCTGGCACATTGGATGAGAGATCTCCGATATGTGGTGTGAATGCAACAATTTGTAAAATAATACAGCAATACAGCACAAATTTTTTGCATATTGGACAACAATGGCATTGTTTCCAGTATCCATTTTTGGGGCAATGGCATTGTTTGTATAGGTATTCAATTTATTTCTGGTACCAATTCTACCGGTTTAATTACCTTATAAAATATTATAATCTCATCTCAAGTTTCAGATGGATTAATCCACACTATGGCAAACTCAAATAATACTCCAACATCTTTGGGTAATTAGGTGTTCCAAGACCTGTAACTGGATCCCATCTATCAATCATTAAGTTAGCACTCTATCCGTCCAAAGCTCCTTCACATTAAACAAGAAAAAAAGTAAATATAGAAGACTCACCCAGGCACCGCTGAAAATCCCACGGTACTACATCCCGGATTTGTTCCATTAACAATATCATTCAACATGCTTGGATTGGCATACAACGAGGGGTTCAAGAAACCAATTGGTCCCTTTCCGATATTGATTCTCTCTTCGTTGATTCGATTGATGACAGCAGAAAAGATTGGTGTACTGGCTGATGTACCACCACTGAGTTGAAAGTCGTTTCCGTTGTATATCTATTGTTCGTTAGCCAGATTACTATGTTGGAATGAAATAGAATGGACGCACAGCAATGTTATCTCCATTTGCGGCGACATCAGGAATACCCCTTCCAATTCTGTTATAGATACCTCCAGTAGAACCAGCCAAAGCGCCAATATCGGGTAATGTCTGAATATCCCCGGTGTCATTGCTCAACGCGCTATAGGATGGATAGGGTGGGTTGTAATCCTCGAAAAACTTTGCTACGAAACTAGCTTGATAATCAGGAATTGGATAGATATTACTGAAACCTCCTCCGGAGGAATAATTGACAGAGTATGGATTGCCGGCAGGGTCGAAGACGGCGGATTCGGGGTCATAGACGGAATATCCGGGATACACTTTTGTGGCGCCGACGGCTGTTACGTATGGACATGTACCGGGCCAAGTCGGGTTGAAAATATTGAGATCAGGGCCGAGGCAGCCGGTTGGGCCGTCGATATCGCCCGGATAGTCTAGATTAAAATGTTAGTTTTTTACAAAGAAAAAGAAAGTTTGACCCGAATTAGCCGATGTTTTGTACTTACTTGAGACACCGGAATCGCCTGAGGCGAAAAGGAATGATACGCCTTGAAGGCCCAGTTTCATATACTCGAGACATTGTCGTTTTTGATATGAAATTGGGAGGTCGGATTCTTGTCCACCGTATGATAGAGAAATTACATTGGTGGGTGTGAAGGTACCGCACATGAGTGATCCTTGCCATCCTCCAGTAAGTGGATCTGGGTAGGCTTGATCCAAGTACGGATCGTTACCAGTCTCATTATAGGCAGTGTAGCTGCAGTATGACTAGAAGATGTGAGCTGATATAATATTGACATTCGATCATATTGTTGAACCTACTCCATCTAATGCATCTAAGAAAGTGTTGAACCCAAAAGTGTAAGTATCATTCTGATTAGCTTGTACAATATAATCGTCAACTTGATAGAGAGTGATTTGCTGTGGGTAAAGGATCGGGTAAGCAAGTTGAATATCGAGGTTTGCCTCCCCACCAGCGTAATAAGGATCAGTTGTTGATTGCACTCCACCATCGATATTTGCTGGAATCGGATGTGTGCCATTGGGAATGTTCTTTGTGAAGTTTGTGAAAAACAAATCAAGATCATTTTGAGTGTAGAATTGTAACTCCGACTCAAAAATACCCAAGGAATTGTTTGGATGAGACAATGTCGCAGGTGGTATCTGGTAAAGTGCAGCAACACAAGCAGGAGTGATAGCAATATCACAAGTGCTCAAATCCGTGGCATTGGTGCCATTGTAGTTGTGCTTAGAATCTCGTAGTAATCCATGTGTATTCCTTTTGAATATTTCGTGCTCCAACATCTCGGCATTGCGCTTCAACTTATTGCTTGGGTGTTCAATTGGTGCAAGGAGTTTGATACCGGGACTGATGTAATCAATGTGTTTTCTAATATCCTTGGGGACATGATATGTCTCGCACGAGGGCATAACACCACCAGTGATCGAATCTTCGTACTCATGGTATTCGGTATACAGAAGATTTTCTGCTTCCTCAGCAGTCGCATAGAATGCAAACCATCCTTTGTTATCCGAATGAGTAATACGTCCGGCTGGGATACCGGAGTCAATCAACCATTTTCGAACTTCATCTTCTGTTTGCTGAGTGGGGCGAAAAGCCTCAATGACTTCTTCGGCAGTCCAATGCTGTCCAAAATGCGGAGATGCAGGGTCGGATCTATGAAGAGCTGGTTAACTTTGAACTTCTCCTCTGTCTTGATTGATGGTACTTACATCTTCATCAAATGGTCATGCCCTTTATCAAGATTGTTTTGCGTCAGGCCAATTCGCATAGGCAATAATTTGTGTGACTCTACACGATCTTTTTTCGACCATCTCGGGTGTAAACTTTCTCTTTTTTCGTGGACTTCCAAATGTCGTGGTACAACAATCGCACTCACTTCAAGTGTGAGAGCCACGAGGGCAACAAGGCCGGAGATCTTCGTTCTCACCATCTTAATGGATGGGATTGATTGAGGTGATTGATCAATTTCAATTCAAAAGGCTGAAGAACTTTCTCCATCATTTATACCTTGGCAGGGACAGCTGCATTTACCCCTCTCAAGATCTGCAGACCCTAGTTCCTTGAGCTTGATGCCATACTGAATGAGGCAGGTCGAAATACCTCTCACAAGAGGATACACGATAACATCCGAGTTAACCTCTTGATAAGCAGGGACGTTGTTGTTTAAAGATGTAAGCTGACGTAGAATGAATTGATACCTCCTACATAGGAAAGAGCTTTATGGATGAAGTTAAATCTTGACCATAAATTTCGCAACAGCTATGAGCTGGTCGAGCTTGAGCGGAGCTTTCAACCAAACGACGTGCTTAAGATATATATCTCGACATATCGTGGCAGATTCTTTTAGTAATCCTTCCGTTGTTCGTACAAAAATGTTGTGACGAGAGCTTGAACAGGGCACTAATCCATTTGCCCCACTCCTTGATAAGTGAACCTTAACACGGGCGATTATCGCTCAATACGAGAGCAATTTATATTGCAACGACCTTGTAAGACGTACCACAAAGAGCCAAAGAGCTCTCCTCAAGATTATCGATGCCGGTGATGCCGGTAACACGCAACATGCGGTCAGGAAGTCGTTGATAACAACATGAGACTCTTGTCAAAAATCTTACTCATATGTAGGACAGGACGACATAGAAATAGTCATCTCAATGGGTGATATAACAACTATCTCTGAAGTTCTCAAAGATTTTAGAAATTTATGATTGTACTAGACCAAATCCATACTTGTCATGTTGCCGACTAGGGTCACAACTAGTTATGCAGCTCTATGATGCAAAGACATTTCCAACTCACGATATTCGCCGCAAGTTGAGGAGCAGAGAGCCCCTTCATCATTATGATCTTCAAGATGATTTCAGTGTTCACATTTATCAATTTCATCAATTAGAGTTATAACAATTTCCGTCTCATTCCGATGAAAGGTTCTTTCCCAATCCGTTCTCGCCTCACGTTGGATTCCCTTTGAGACTCGATTTTCCACCACAACTCAAACGTTAATGCTCACTTATTCCATGACGCATCTTCCATAATCAACCATAGTCAACTAGGCCGAGCGTCGATAAACTTACTTATATACTAGTAGTCGCAAGTATCTGGGTATCTATTCGTATGTTCAATACAAAATTCCTGTTTCCACATCTTTTTGTGTGCACTTTGAGTTGAACACACAATCTTCGGTCGTAAGATCCACATTCACAACCCCGATTCGTTCTCAATAACTTCAAGATACTCAAGAGTGCATCTATATTAAGTGAAGAAAGATATGGTATGTATTGAACAAACATGGACTAATACTTTTATATCATAGTGACTATACAAGAACTTTTATGGAAAAACGAGAATCTATTTCAGAGTTATACTCAACGAATCTGGTTAGGAAGCATACCCGCATCTAACCAAGATAAGCATCGCTGGTCAAGAACTTCTTGATGTTCGGTCTGTCCTCCACAGCATCTACTAATTGCACTAATCTCGGATACTCTTTCAGTCCTTGTCGTTCATCTTTAGTAAGACTTTCATCGTGGAGTAATTGATATAGAGCCATGTCTGCATATGTGATTTCATTGCCAGTTATGAAAGGTCCCTTTTTCGAAAGCTCCGAACCCTTCAAGTGTGTTTCGAATTGCATTGAGGTATTTCTTCTAATCGCCTTGTTGATGTTTCGGATAGTCCTCTTTTTGGCTGTCAGAGAAGAAAGCTGAAATGAACAGAGTTCGCCCTGTAATCGTTTGTGAGCATTTTTTCAAGAGCATTCAAATGAAGGGGGTTCGCTTACAATCAACAACAATATCGCAGATTGCATCGGCCCAATACTTCTCATCTTCATTCTTCCCGTCGTACACGCCTAGCAATCTTGACCAATGCCTAAGGATAGCATAACTCTGTGTCAAGATTTTTCCGTCCGGCATCTCAACCACTGGTATATTTCCCGTAGGATTTATCTCGGCAACTTTCCCATTTCTCTCATGTTCTGGCCATTCTTCGAATGTGTACCGAATATCCTTGAATGCAGCTCCTGCATCGATGAGCAACAGTCGAACTACTTGACCTCGACCTCGGGACTGGTAATCGGAATAATGGATAGTAGGAATGCCGCCAATATCTTTGTTTGCTGCACTTTCTGTGCCGTATGTAGAGGTTTGAGGCATCTCGTACGGATCTAGGTATGCAAATAGTTTTGGATATTCGAGGCAGAAGTCGGCTTTGGCAATAGTATATCTCGCGGGGTACGTAGTGGGATTTAAGTATCCACAGAGGAATGTGGGGATATCTTGTAGCTCAAACTAGTGGTCAATCATGACCATGTTTGTAAGACTACTGCCTTGGCCCAAACCTTGTATTGTAATTCCAAATGCATCATCTTATTCCTACCTATGTCGTTGAAAGATGTCAAGCACGCCTTCTTGTCAATCACGCCCTTTTGAAACCCTGTTTTCACAATTCCAAATGCAATGTCATTGTTGTAGAGCTACACATGGTTGATCAAATCCATTTGTACGAGTGCACGCAATGCTCTCTCGTAGCTTTCTAGCCTCAATAGAATTAGCATCAAAGGACCAGCGGATCCTTCGACACTGCCTCCTACGAAGTGGAAAAGTCTCGATCGGATCTTCTTGATAATCGACAAGTTGTCATTCCATAAAGTCTCAGATCCCATTGAAAGCAAAGAGGTGTTGTAGAGACGAGCATTTCCGGTAGTTTGAAGTTGCGCTTCTGATTCGAAATAGTATTGGACGAAATTCGGAGTGCACTTCGGATATTGTGGGACTAATTGGTTGAATCATTATGCGAATCCACCAATCACGTTGCATAATAGGTTTGTTCAAAATTTAATCCAACATGAATCTAATTTAGGCGCCGCCACCATTCAAAAATCATATGATTTCCCTGCTGGCGCAATGGTAGCGCGCAAGACTTCTATCAAGGCTTCGAAATCATATTCGAGGATGTGCCTGAATCTTGAGGCTACAGGTTCGAGCCCTGTGTAGGGAGTTACCCTGAGTACCATCGGTTTGAATCCGTTGCTAGAAACAATTTTTGCCACTTTTTTCGAAAGAGGGGGTGAAGAGTTGCCGATTTTTTAACATCGATGTCTAATTTAGCTGGTGAGCAGTAACATGGTGGGGTAAATTTGGACTTAATCCTTCCGCACGGACGTTAGTGGAGTTCGAATGCCCTGTCAATGTTGGTTATGCTTCTTTTTATCTCCTTTTATTTGTGATTCACGAAGACCTGGTAACCTCGCCGAGATATCGCTCAGATTCACCGGAGAGTCAACCGGTCCCTCCACCACCTTGTCTCTACTTTGTCCCGAGATTTGTCCAATTCCTTGGGAGATCTGTGTCATGAATTTTATCTTGTCACAAGTATTCGAGTATTTAATACTGAGATTGACGATATCTTCGAAGTGAGCCTAACTACTCCTTGCTAATCGACATTATTTGATACATCAAATTCAACTGTCTGATCACCGCCATTTTCAACTCGAAATATCTACATGCAGTGATACTGTTACACTGAGTGGGTGTAGTCTCAAGCCCGAATCGAAAAGTCATCGAGATCCATTGAGTTGTTATTTGTAACCGCGACAATCGCAAATATCTTACAAACAAACGAACGCTCAACGTCAGATTGTTTGAAGTCGAATATCTCCTGATCTGGTAATTTTGAGCGAGTAGTAGAGGTTGAGAAAGTTCCAGCCCTTGCCCCAGTGGCTTTTGTTGCTGGGGGAAAGTTGTCACACAATTTCAGCCAATTATAGACCGATTGAACATCCGAGACACCGCAATCCCGCTGGGATTCAGGGTCATGGAACTGGTGCTGAAATGGTAGTAGACATATACGGGAGCCTGCTGGCATCCAGAAATAACGACTTTTGAGTGTAACTACGGCGTCGAAGTAGAGGTACAGAACGAAACTTTACTGCCATGTTCCAGCCTACTCCTTGGTCATTGAAACGAATTTCCATTCGAGACATGGTCATCCATGACGCGATAGGATTGATTGGCCTACAAGGTACCCAAATCAAACACCTCTTCACCCCGCTTTCAGTGAAGCAAATGCAGGGAATCGTCCATGTATCCTCTGCATGCTATCCACCACCGATATATAAGTAATTGTGGCATATTCTGGGCAGAATTGGTCAATTTGAACAATGATTGCCTACACACAATCATCAACTCTACGTTCATCTAAAAATCCATTATACTGCCCTAATCTACAATTTTTCCGACGCATCGAGAGGTAAGCTTAATCTCCTATACATCATGAAGGAGAGAAAGCTAATCGAATGTCTAGGCAATGTCCTCAATAACCAATGTCATGCGTCTCCTAAACAACGTCATCACTGGCGAGTACCCAGAATACCTTCCACGCTCTAGTTCCGAAGTCATCACCTTGCTCGGAGGGTTGAAATCTCGGGAAGAGGTTTACCTCTCGCATTATCGGAGGATGAAAGGAGTCACGAACCACGAGTTGAAGAGAATGTATGATTTCGTAGCAGCTTCTATCGTAAAGGTCACAGACATCACCAAAGAGCTCATGGAGTTAGCTTCTATTGATTCTAGGGTCAAATCGTTCCATGTATATGAGGCCCTCAGAATTCTCCATCTAGCATTCGGTGCATTTCAGAGGTTGGCCGGCAAAGTCAAAACGCTTCCCCGGCAAGAAAAAGACCGTTGCTTCGGCTACGTGGGAGGTTGCTACAACTACTCCATTCTATTTCAAAAACTCCTTTACCCCGAAGACGAATGCGATCACCTCGAAATCTACGCCCAAGCCCTCGGGCACGATTTCCAATTCTGTTTCAAGATAGACACTGATCAGGATTACTCTTCGCCAGGCTCATCTTTAAGAAACGGGTTAGAAAAAACGCTCAGCGCATGTATACCTCCTGCTAATCAAATACCTGTATACTGTCATTTGACAGCACAGCCTGACAAGCCAGTATGCCCGCAGCTTTATCGAAATCCATATTTTTATGGGCCAAGAAACCTTCGGAATCAGAATCATGAATCGAATAGAGAGTATTTCAGGATGAAAGAAGTCAGAGAGAAAGGGATATACCGTACGAAGGCGGCGACAACCGGCGACATAAGTTACAACCATGGAAGAAAAGTGGTTAAAGAACCGAAAGTAGAGGTAATGCGCCGACGGAAGCGACAGGTATGTGCGAAGATTCCCTTTCCCGTCTCAATCTACCAGAATCATCAAAATTGTGTTACACAAACATCGTTCAAGGCTAATGTTGAATTATAGACACGCGATCTGGAAGCACAATCTGGATATACACACACAGCATCATAAGGAAAAGCCAGATTTGGGCGTTAAGTGATGAGATATACTTTATGATAATGATAATGAAGACATACGACGAACAACTGTGGCATGACGAAATAGCATATTAAAAAGTTGGTTTTTGGGATAGTGGAATGGATCGATGAAATATTTTACATGTACAAGAAAGATAATGAATCATGAATATCTCTTTCTCTATCTTTACATCTACACTACACACACAATGACTGCCAATTTGCGCGCTGTACATCAAGATGTTCAACTATTCCTGCTGCCGAAATATGCAAAATCCCAAACACCACATAAACCAGAAGTTCTACGGACCTAGACATCCGGTCTAGCTAGCTTGCACCAACATCTCCGTAATTTCCACCAAGCCAAGCCAAGACAGTGACATTCCAATTCCCCGGCCAGAACCCCCCTAAGAGAACCCTTCCCTAGAAACCCAATCGGTGAAGACTAGACACTAAAAGCATAGTCCACAGCCTAGGAAAATAAATTACGAATTTAAAGCGGCTAACCCGTCAACATTCCAGAACGCAGTCTCCAACCCCTCACTTAGTCTCTCTTCCCCTGCCTCACTAAACCCCTAAATCCCTAAATAACCCTTCCGCTACTAAAAACCAGGTTTTGGATATCACACACATACACACACATGCCAATATCCCTCCTCCAAAGCCCATTCAATCCCCTGCAATTCTCTCCTGAGCCTCCCTACCAAAGGTTCCAAGTCGCAATCATCTCTCCATCAAGCCCACAATGCCGGTCATCCTTTTCGGAAGCCGCTGCATATCCCACTGCACGCACCTGCAAGCCCTGCGGTTGCATTTTCTTTCTTTCGGCACGCACGGCGAAAATCGAAAAATTTCCACATGCTGATCGTATGATTGCTGCTAGGATTTTCTAGACCGCTTGGAAACCATTGCAACACGGTGCAGAATTTTTAGGATGGTGGAGGGGGGCTTGAACGCCTCTTACACAGGGTGCTTCGTGGGCTTCTGCAAGTGAAGAAAGAGTTACCGGTAAGTAGGCGCGGTAAGTAGGTAGGAAATACGAAGAATTTCCAGATTATTCCGAGGTATTCTGTATTCTATATCGGGGCTTCTAGACTCTAGTCATAATTGATAGCTGACATTTGTGAGAATTTCGAAGATCATAACCGAGAACATGGAAATGAGGAACTATATTGATTTAGATCTGAGTATCAATATGATGTGCTACTGCAGCATTCGAAGAGTTGCATAAGCTCCTGTGCTGGTTGATGACAATGAGTCCATATGATGGGTATCAATATCGTTTTCATTTGCTATATAATAATTATTTAAAATTCAGTAACCATCACACGTAGCCACCACAATCCTCATGATGCTGCTCCTCCTAATCACTATCGTGCATCTTCCTTAATTCAAGAACTTCGTTACAAAAATTTCCGTTAGCAAGCTCATCTCTCAACCACTTTCCTTTCCCGTCATACAGTTCTTCATACACATAAGGAGGAGCCCATTCCTCTTCCTTGATCTTCTTGCTTTCGTCTTTAAATTGGTCTGGGATTTCGATGCCCCTTTCATCGCTAAGTATGTAGTTATTTCTAGCTTCCAAAATCTTCACATTATCGAATTCTTTCATGGTAACAGGCAAGTTTTTCGTGTCTTCATCTTCCCAGATGCAACATTGATGCTCCTGTGCGCCTGCAGTAAGAAGACAGGGTCCTGCACTGCTGGGAAGTGGCCGTAATGACGAGATACAATGCTCGTGCTCCTGAATACTGTTCGTTATGATGCATTTCTTGTAGTCGGGATGATAATGCTTCGAAGTAAAATGATGTGACCACTCGCAATCATCCTTTCCACTATCGCACAATTCTGTGAAAGCTGACAGACTTCTCTTCTTCTGGTATCTCTCCAAAACTATTGTAGGGTTGCTCCTGAGAATTGGATGTGCGGCTGACAGTCTCGAATGTTCTGTGTCTTTCGCCCGACTCTCCTCGACCCGCTTTCGAGTCCAATCCAGCAGGCGTAAAGCGCAACGTATGCCTCCATCATCTCGATCCGCTAATAACTCCATGAGATCATCACTGGGAGCACGGAATTTGCTACTCTCCATGGCCAAAGAAGGAGACCTGGCGGACGATCGGGCAGTGCTGTCAAAATGTCCCGGTTCACTCTGAGTATCACCAAGGTCGGTTCGACGAAATTTCCTACGTTCAGGCGAGGATAAGATTCTCTGTGGGTGTATGAGACTACTCTGGATAGGCCTCGGTGTTCCTTTCGATGCGAGATTCATGATATTTTTCCAGGCAGCATCCAAATCCCTAGATACCAGCCTCGGTGTAAAACTGTCATCTTCATTCAAGGGCTGGGGGTCGCTCATACATGGCGAAATGGGTAGTGTGTGCAAGCCTTTTGGTAACATACTGTAATTCTTTGCCCGAAGTGGAGACAACATTGGGGAGTTTATCTGCTGACTATCTTTCGTCATGCTCTTATAGATGTGAGAAAATAGAGACCGAGCGTTGGAGGATTTTAACCACTGTTGTTCATCGGTGTTGACATTTTTTTCGGGTATTTGAATATATTTAGTCGTTGCAGGCTGTCCATTTAAGTATTGACATATGCCCCAAATCCATAGAGTATAATTATTCCTGCCATGAAGTTTGAGCTTTCTAATGTTGCCCCCAAATGTCCAAACTTCATTGCCGGGTCCGCGCATTTTTGGAAACCAACATACATGAGAAATCGGTACCAATCCTGTTTCCATAGTTCGTAGATTAATGACAGGAACGCCATTTTCGTAGCCATCTCCCTTGGCAGTAATGGACAGCCAGAATCGGTCACCAGGTTGGTAGTCAAATTCAGAGTCGCTGTGAATCAATGCCATACCATGAGCATCCGTCTGTGTAGCCTCTGTATCGATTCCTGCACTTTTGTAGACAATGCTCCCATCCTTTTCGATATCTTGTACGGGCATGAAACAAACCGAATTCTCATCTTTGCCTTTGAATCGTCTCACAGGTATGAGTGACTCGTTTGCAATATTCAGCACTGGAGACTGAACGACGACTCGGTGACCTGACTGAGCCCATTTTGAGGGCCTTGATACAAGAACATACCTACGTACTGGAACTTTGCAATCCATAAAGACTGCTACTATTCGAAATGTTGAAGCTTAAGCTTTTTAAGGTGGAGTATGTGGTAAACATTGAAGCGACCTCTTGACGAAATTGTGCGAATCATTCAGTATTGATTACTTGTCATATTTCAATACCATGTGCTGAAAGGTAACCTTCATATAGGTACCCATGTTACGGGTGTGCCCTTGCATGTGGCTGAGATGCTCGCACGCATCTTTTGGTTGACCCAATGAGAACCATTTCGGCTCAAGAGCTCCTACACCGCAAAACGCGCTGGCAAAAGAAATATTGAAGGAATGCTTGCAAAATAAGCATTGAAAAAAGCAAGTTGTCTCTTATGTATTCGCGCCAATTACCGCAAATGTGTTTCAGCCCCGCATGCGCTTTGGTTTAGGCCAGTATAGTTTGTCTCTGGTGCTTTACTGGCTGTCTTCATTGTGAAGGTTGTCCCTGCTGCCATTCTACCATTCGCCAATCTCCATTGTATTGTGGTCGCCGAACCCGTCCCGACTCTATGATTTCTTGGACTGTTCCGTACCATCATCCAGCTGCTCCCCGGCTCCTCCGACAGCGCCTTCCCTCTTCTCACCCTTCTCAGCAGAATACTCCTTGGGGTCAATATTTAATTTGACCATCATTGCATTGACCCATTCCTCCATTTGTTTCTCGTCCTCTGGGTTTGTTTCTTGCGCGAGCAATCCCATCTTTGCCCGATATCTTTGCCTCAGGTCATCGACCGTCGAAATATCGAAAGCCCATAGCAGCCCTCCGCTGAGCATTACGCTGATACTGGCCACATTTATAGTTGCTACACTCAAAGCTTCAAGTGCCTCCATAGATCCATCCACTTCGTGAACCCGATTACTAGGTGTGTAGAATTTGGGCAGCATCATCTTATATTTTCGTACGAGTGCTCTGCGAGTGACGAAAGCCGAAAGACCAACGAAAGCTGCACCACCCATGAACAGACCAAATTGACGCCGTGATCGTTGTGAGAAAAGCGAAGAGTCTATTGCCGTGGTGGGCGATGCTGGTGCGGGGGTTGTAGTGTAGGATGTGGGTTGAGATTTGGCCATGGCTGAGGGATCTTGTACAAATGCCATTAATGGATTAGGGACGGGCGCTTTCCTTACGGATCGAAAATATGAGCGGGATGTTAGAATTCGAACGCTGCAGCTAGAACGTTTATGGGTTTAAGGAAGCTTTTCATGTTCTGAAAAATTATGCTTACGCGAATATGGTTTAGCGTCGTTCTACAGCGTTGGTTGTAGTGGTGTAACCTATATTTTTAGAGCTTCTCCGGTTGATCTGGCCGGGCTATAGATTTGTGTCAAAATCCTTAATATATGTCAAGATTCAAACCGGGAAGCTTCCATTTGTGAGTTGTGTTGTATGCAAAGACCTGTACTAGATTGAGTGAAACTCCCTTCGCCAGTTAGCTAGTACTTTCATGATGATCCTCTCATTTTCGTGCGAATAGAATGATTCGTAATTATAATTGTATCTTTAATTTGTATATTAACTTTGACATCATTATTCGTGGGTATTATGTATATTTGCTGAGTCTTCTATAAGTTTATATTCTTTTCCTCCCATGTTAATTTACTTGGGTCCATCTTCCTTTCCTTTCTCCTTTTCCGTGCCAGCCTTTGGAGATTTTAGTTCCTCAAGTTCGTTGGCCAACTTCTCTTTCTCTCTGCTCAAATCCATATCCAGGACAATTTTGACTTCCGGGCAGTATTCCAGAATATGCTTTCTGCGCTCTTTATTGTCCCAGACGGCTGGGATCAAGAATTTACCACTTCCTATTAGATGATAACCAAAGGGCTTCTCATACCACTGGCTTTCCACGCTGAATTTGACTTCTACATCTGGTCCGGGCATTTTGGCAGCATTCGATGCTATGAGGCGATCGCATATCCAACGATCCTCCCACGGGGTACCGGGCTCACGAACTTCTTTTTCGAGAATTTTAAGGATGGGAGGGATGTGCCTGAGACTCAATCCTCCATTTCCACCTTTTACGGCCATGTTCCATGGGGCACCTACCCAGGAATAGTCTTTGGAAATCCAGTCTTCTATGTTGTACTCAGAAGCTGCGCATATAATTGAGTCGCTTTGAAACATCAGAAGCCATTCCGCAGGAGCGAGAAAATCTCTGTAGAAGGTCAAATCTGTAAGAGTCATGCTTATAGTCTCTTGGTCTTTGATGGCATATCTCTCGGGGAGCTCGGTAATGACTAGTTTTCCGGTCTTGACATGGCCGGAAAGAGATGAGGAAGAGGAGATCAATGCATTGGCTTCGGGGGTTCCAACGAAGCGAAAAACCCACGGTGCAGGTAAAACGGATATAAAATGTGAGAGGAGAGCGGGCAAGTGAGGTAAAGGACGAGTTTCGAGAAGGAGAGCAACCCGCGTTTGGTCCAATTCGACTTTCGTGTTAGTCGAACCTCCCTTTGGGCCTGTCGAGGCTACACTAGTCGAAGGATTTGATTCTGTCGCTATAGAATCGCCCACCACGCCCCCTCCTGGTGTTACTTTGTCTAGGTGGAATTTCGATATTGATGACAAGTCGTATTGGTAATAAACAACTAACATAAGCAAACTTCTGCGAATAGTTAGAATTAATGTCCAGCATGGTACATTGAATGGACAGAGGAGATTCCCAAATTCCTGGGGATCAGATAATGGATTAAAATCCCCAGACAGGATTGGATCTTATCGCAGAGCGCGCAATCCCCTCCGGTGCAAGGAACAAAGAACATACAAAATACCAATCGCGAAAATGAAACTCCTGTGCATCCTTCTGTTCCATAGGAAGGACCCCGATTCGTGTGACGACGCCATAGTGGAAGAATTAACGAGAGTGCTTGCGATCCCTTATAGAGACGATATGTATCGAGACGTAAATTTCATACATATAAACTCGGAACCCATAGACGATGAAGGGGGGACGTTAGGTGATATATAAAATAAACATTATGGAAAAAAGAAGAGTGTGTTAGTAAGGGGAAGTTCGTATCTTGGCTGCGCAGTATTGTAGTGAACGATCGGAAATATCAATGTGGATGTGATAATCTTTTGGATAGTAAGCCAATCTGATGTGATGGTAATGCTGGTATTATGCGCCGTATGAAGTACCCTTGGGGGCAACTTTGAATTCGAGGGGGGATATCTATGTGATTCCTGCGTATCTTGGCACTAAGTGATAGGTTAAAAGATTCAGGATTTTGTGGATAAACCACCTAGTCTATGTATTTTTGAAATTACGATTGATCTTCTCAACGATTATCCATCCTTGTTTTCACCCTATATCGATGTAATTACATCAAACGAGTACGCTAATTTCGTACCAAGACTCATATTCTGCTTACCTACGCTGGCATTAAACTCCCTGGTGTCCCTATAGCTAATAATAAGAGTTCATCTACTAAATTAGGAAGGCATTGATAAGGGGTATGTTATGGGTCCTCGAGATTCGAAACCACTATGCTATTTCTCAAAACTGCATGGTAGAATATCGAGAATTTGTAGGTTGCAACCTCTAGATTCATCGTTTGTCTCTGGACCTTCCTTCAATCTTTGACTTGCGAGCGAACCTTTTTGCTCTAGTCTGTGGTGTTAGGACGAAACCTAGAAGTAGTAGATCCAAGATCTTCCAAACCTGTGGGGGGCTTCTGGGCTGCATTGTGAGATTCTCTTCGACATTCATGATTGTTAGTTACTATCGCCCACTCTTGCCTGTTCTCCAGGGAGAGAAGAAGGGATGGTCATGTATGCGAGACCAGGAGTAGCTGAAAGCAGTCAAGGAATGATTGTTCTGTTTAATGGTACCGTCTAGCAGCATTGGAATCATCGATTAACCAAAGCTTATGTCGATTCTTTATATCATAAATGATGCCATCACCTACTAGGTACTTAAAATACTCCACTTGGAATCTTCCTTCGAATTTGATAAAAAGAGGAATCGTTTCGTTCTCCGGCCATATAGTATGGGCTTTTGGTGCTTTAAATCACGATATATAGCACGCTTCACTCTGGATTGAAACCCCGAACAGGTTGATGTGGGGTTGCAGACGCTAAGTTTGTCATCATCTAACGCTAAAAAGACGTCATGGCTACGTCAACAGCCCAAAGTGCAATGCTCACATAGATTTGGCCACTTCTCTGCTTAGAGATATTCAGTGATACTCAACGCAAATCCTTTCTCGATATCTCAATCATAGTCAATTATTCAATATGACCAATATCTTAATCGTAGGTGCCACTCGTGGATTAGGTGCTTCACTTGCGAAGAGTTACGCTTCGCAACAATCAACAACTGTTTATGGAACCACTCGTGCTGCTACTGGCCCATTCAATCTGAATGAAAAGATTGTATGGATACCCAATATTGATGTTGCAGAAGAAGGAGTAGGCAGAAAATTGGTAAATCAGTTGGGTATGCTCGGAGGCGGTGGTGGAATGGTCGAGGGTGGACGAGTTACATTCGATGTCGTTGTATGTCCGCTCACTTAACCCAGTTTATTAGAAGGACAATAGGTTGAGGGTGTTGCACAGCAGCTAAATGTGACTGATTAAATCTCAGATTATCACAGCTGGATATTTTGCCACAGAAGACTTTGCAAGTGGTCCAAAATGGGATGAACAAGTGAAGATGTACAGTAAGTACTTTTCAACATCTTCATCACGCCGAATCTTGCTTTGTATAGACTAACGTTGTGCCCTCTAGCAACATCAGCCATCTCTCCTCCCTTCATAGTCCAATCTTTGTTCCGCGCCAAGAACATCACCAGAGGTTCCAAAATTCTTCTTATCTCCTCCGAATCGGGCTCAATTACTTTGCGACACGAGAAGGAAGGTGGCGGTAATTATGGACATCATGCCTCAAAATCTGCTCTCAACATGGTTGGAAAGCTCCTTTCGCTAGATTTGAAGGAGCATGGAATCATTGTATCGATTCTGCATCCTGGATTCATGCGAACAGAGATGACAAAAGGGGTTGGATTTGATAAATATTGGGATGACGGAGGAGCAGTGACGCCCGATGAAGCTGCGAAGAGCTTGGTTGAATGGACAGAGAAACTAGACATCAGTAAGTCGGGTCAATACTGGGCACCAAGGGGTCCTAGAGATATTGGTACCGCGGATGTAACAATCGGGACGGACCTACCTACGCCTCTGCAATTACCATGGTAGTGATGCTGACGGGGTTGGCACACGACTCTTTATGACGATTATGATAATGAATAGTAGCGCTGTTTGATTTGGGGTAACTCTTGTAAATTTGACTAAGTATCACAGTTTGAAACATGGCAGCACAAGCGATTATAAAAGTGAAAAGCGGTACAAGATCCGACATGGCGGGTAATTGAGAAGATAATTAAGAATGCGGAGAACTTAGCTGGCTAATAGTTTTTCTGTGGATCTCTCTAATCGCTATTATTTTCGGGGGGTGGGAGGGAGGGGGAGGAAATAAAACAAAGCCATAGTTTACGGCTGTGCTATTGCTGAAAGCACTCCGCAATGTGGTACTGGAAGTTTCCCTTCATTCTTGAATCCTGTTCCGAAATATTCTCAAAAGTTTAGAATACTTTCAAAGTTTTTGCAGTTGTTTTACTCACTTCGTTATTATTCATACTCATCTCTCCTTTCGAATACTTTGGTTGAGACTGCTTGACTTGGAGACATTTTGCCCCAAGACTTGTCACCTTCATGTGGGCTGGAAAGAGAGCTATAGGCCGTCTTCTGTCTACTATGAAAAGTGATGATTACAAAGAAGTAAAACAGCATGTCTATGTTGGTCTGTAGTTAAGAGCTGTGACAAGGAAAGTACCTTGTTCATGGCTGGCGGCCAATGATTCCTATCAGGCATGTCAATACCTTCTCTTTGTGAAGCTTGGTACCATTAGCTTGTTGAATTTCTATTGAAATATGCACATGTTACTAAATAACAGAGGTGTGATGATTCATGAGTTATTTGAAAGTACAGCACGTATACACGAGCCTCTGATGCCGTATGAAGTTTGAGCGCATTTGCTTCTAAATGGTCGCCCTTTCCTTTTCGAGAAATCGCAATTTTCGATACAGCACAGTGGTCCTAATTAGGGACTTTACTTTTGTTTTTGTCTCAATCCCATTACCTAATATCTGAGCCCGCCCAATCACATCTCCAAGCTCCACGCATGAGGACTACAGTCATCTTTCTTTCCAGAAATTCACTTGATCACAAGATCATTCGCTGAAGTAAAGACAAAAACAGTCACCAATTATGGAATTCAGTAAAGAAAATGTATATGCAATCACAGGCGCATGCTTTATATTTGTAGCCGCGATTCTTCTTTACTTCTCGTTCCGACAACCTCGTAAGACCAAAAACAACTCTATCTTAAACCTTTTAGAATTAGGACAACTTCCAAGACGTCCTCGACCAGCACACATTCGGCAACCAAAATTTTCACATCCAACACAGACTCGGTCACAAGGGCGTTCACGTTCCACGCATACTCGACATACAAAGCGAACGCATTCAACACATACTCGGCATCCAAGACGAACGCCTATAGCAAGCCCTCCCCCTCCAAGACAGATATCAAGTAGCTTTGAAGAAGGAAGCAAATAACATCATCACACGATCCGTGCAGAATCCTCAAAGATGCATCACAACACTAAGCAAGGTTTAATATTCCTTGCATTCTTGATCGCCTGTGGAGGAGGTATCGCTGCCTTTATCCTTTTGCGCAACTCCCATAACAAGCATCCACATTCCGGAAAGCGTGAAATGGCGGGCATGAATTTACACAATAGCTACGCTAGGAGCCTCCCTACAAACACTTTGACTACTAGACATATTGTTCTCGAGAAAAGCGAATCCCCTCAAGTTCACCCATCTCATACCCATTATAACACATCGGCTCAATATCGCAATAGACATCGCTCATTTACTCCGGAAACAAATCTTGGCAATCCAGGCAGTCAGTTTGTCACCATTCCGACTACTACAGCTACATCAGCCAGTGTACAACCCTTATCGACCTCTACTTCTAGTAGTGCTTCGTCTATCGATATTTACTCATCCTTCACAGTAGAAACACCAAGTACTTTGTCGGCCGCAGCAGGATTCCAAAACTCTGCTGCTTCGTCATCAGATCCAATTTCTGACGTTGGCCCGGTTTCTACAACTCCATCGAGTCCGCAGTCATTGGCTACTACTGGCAGTAGACACAACCATCTTCGTAAGTTTCGAGGTTGAGGATATGAAGTCGGTGCTGGTACTAGGGACTAGGAGGGTTAGGAATCAAAGTTTCTTTTTCGGTCGCACACCAGTATCAGAACCTTGTGTAAATTATTCAGTGATAGAATTCTTGGGATATATGTGGATATGTGAATCCGGACGGCGCTTAGACTAGGGGAGGATGGTTTTAGGGATTTCATAGGTCATCGAAACTATAAATGTTTGCATTGCTTTCTACTATCAACTGTTCCAACTTTCATCGCTTCTTTTACTCAGTTTATTTCTTCATGACTAGTGTAACAATAGTGATTCATATGCAAGTTTACCTAGTTGTTGACTCAGATTAACGGTCAAGTCATTCAGCCCTGATATATTGGAAGTCACCGGCATTGTGAATGCAGTCATTTCTTGAGTACTCAGACTCATCATGACTCCCCATTCCTCGATAATATCACAATTCCTCTTCGAATTCTTCCCAATTGTTTCTCTCAAAGAACTTTTTCAGTCAATCAAAACTCAACGTCCATCCTTCAGGTCCCAACTCTAAAAACCTGGATTCTTTGGTGTTGCAGAATATTACTCGATAGTCCTCACATTTGCAATACATCAATTGCACAAAATCCTCAAAATCTTCCTGGTGTTCCCAGCTCAATCTCAAACCTCATACTCCAATCTCGAGCTCACAATGCCGGAATTATTGAGGGCATTCCATGTCGCAGTGTGCGCGGTAGCCATTTCGGCTGTTGTTGGATTTCTATTATGGAAAGCGAGAAGGGCTCCGGTGCTCCCAGTGGTGCAATACAGTCAGCCAGCCATGCCTTCAGCTCCTGACAGGCAGAAGCATTCACAGAAGTCCGGAATTGTCCATAATATTTGTTGATGGCGATGCTGGTATGTTTTGCTTACATATGGGACGTTTGGATGGAGTCCGAAACGGCAGTTGCGTGCTCTTTATGTCTTTCTGGGGTCGTCGGAATGCGGGTTTTTGTTTAAATGTATTTGTAAAGGAGGAGAGTTGGAATCAACATAGAGAGGAGATACGTGAGCTTTGGTTGTGTGAAGTAGGAATTAATCTTTTTGAAATATGGTCTAGCTGTCTTACTGAAATCTATACTTTAATCTATCAATAGCTCTCTCTCTCTCTTATCTACCAAATTAAACTCTAGACGCTCCATCGGCCCCGTTCGTGGGGTTTGAAACCATGTGCTTTCACTTCTATCAGAGATTCCAACCCGTTGCTTCAATCTACCGAAGCAGAACACTTTATACTCCTCTGCAGCGGTATCTCGAAAGCAGTGACTCGCAACTGAAGTTTTTGTGTGTATTATTAATATGACTGATAGAATTCATTCTAATTTATCAAAAACACTAGGAGTCATTGTTGGCTTAGGGTAGACTAATTATCAATGCACCTTCTGAGTTCTAAATATATCAAAATTCCAAGATCAAAGAAGTCAGCACGTTCTCAACACCACAACTTGCTTCTCAAGATCAGACTCTATCACATACTGCACATTGAATGTGTTGTCTTTCGAACTGTCGGCACTCCTATCGCTAAACGCTAAAACTTTACAATCTCGCGTGCTCGCATTTGTACATCCTCCCTTTCTCGTCACCTTATCATTTGGAAGCATTTTCTGTTTTTTATCCTCTCAGCTTTTCAACTCACTAGATCTCGACTACTGTTCATCATACCACGACTCAAACTTAGAATTCCATAGCCTTCAATCAGCTTACACTGCTCACGGTTCCGCACCATGTCGCCTTCCCAGAAACTTCCCAATTCCACAAATTTTACTCAAAACACCAAAGAGATACCTGAAGACTTCTCTCATTTGTTTGAACTCTTGGTAGTAGTAGGTGTCGTGTTTGTGGGGGGTATTGCCATGATACTTATGGTATATGATATTGAGAGTAATAGAGACAAGAAAAGAGCAAAAGAAATTCTTGTCGACAAAGAGTTGCAGTGACTCGGATGTTGAGAGCTCGCTCGAGTCATATGTGAGTAGTATTAGTCACTTTTAAGAGTCATTTGAATCAGTCCTTGATAGCCGATTTCTAGTCGAAAAAGTAGTCGGACTGACAGCACGCAGAATTCAATCTTGCTGCGAAGCGTGCCGGAGACGCGACGATGAGTGGAGATGGATAAATTATCGCCATGATTAACCGCGTCATCTTGGGTCATACCGTAGAGTTTGGCTTGATTTAAAGAGCAAGTATGTCATAAGATATCTAGTTCTTGGTGTTGGAGGTTGTTATGCTTGTTGAGTTTTGATACGTTTGATTAACGATCTGTTTGGTTGTGATCTCTTCGACAAAGGACGGTATCGTGAAGTTGGGTGTTTGGGTCCTTGGAGATTGTGTTTGCTTTCTTTATTTCTTTTGTGTTGTTTGCGTGATGTTTGGAAGATGGTAATTGAGGATCAAGACGTGCTTTCGGAGACGCTACATAGGGATTTTGAGAGGACATCTCGTATCAAGTAGATGCTCGGGTATTTAGGAATAATCAAGGTTCTCTCATCAATCGCTTGACCTCGCTTCTATTGTCCATACTTATGGGTAAGAAAATTCGCTATGATTTAGATTTTCTATCAGACTTTGTGATACGTAGTTTATCGCCTGTGAAGTTGATCTCAGACAGGTCGTTGGTCAAACCAACATCGAAAAGGGAAAATTGAAAACAAAAATTGATATGTAATATACCACATCATAGTGAATTCAAAATTAGAGTCATTTCAATTTTTCGATCTCGCTAATGAGAACTTAATACCTTGTTCATGAGAATTCTAGAATTCCAAGGGTCACCTATGCCCCAACTTTCAACACTCCATCAGCTCGATTTGCATTACGAATTTTACCATCAGCCACTTCAGCAGTTTGTGATAGCACTACTTGATAATACAGCTCTTTCTGACGATCAAGAAAAGACTAATTCCTTACATCTCAGCTCCCTTAGGTCATCATCCTACCTCCTCGATTCATCGAATCCGAGATATTCTTACCATCACGAACTCCTCTCAAGAACATCTCAGGAAAGCTCGCTAGATATCAATAATTCATAACAAAGATCACAACCCCATTCATAACGATTGCAAAAGTTGTTCCGAAACCAGCGATTCACCCTGAGTACGAAATGGAGAAGAATCTCATTATTGGACTAGCAGTCGGAGGTGGACTTGTTGTTCTAATTTATTTCCTCATCTGTTGTTGTAGGAATAGGAATAGCCGTGGCGGGTATGGTGGTGGCGACGGCAATTACGGCCCCGATGGTGGTGATGGTGGTGACGGTGGCTCTTGACCATGGAATCGATCCCTTGCATCTATCTCAAATATTCTCGGGCAAGAACTATATTGATGCGTCATAATCGGCAGGCTACTGTGCTGAGTTCTAATAGTGCTTGGTGGAAACTATTATTCCTTTGCAGTTTTTTGTTCATGTGTATTTTGGAAAGGCAGCATGGGCGGGGGAAGGGAGTTTGTGAGAAGGGTGTTGAAACTAAGGACATCAGAGATCAAACCTTGTTGATATTGATTCTGTGCAACATCGATGTCCTTTCAGAACTAATCTCCCTTCTAGAGCTTTTTTATGTCAATCAGCATTCAGTATTCATAAACTTTTGAGAAGCAATTGAATTTCCTTACCACTCTTTCCGTTCCAGTGACCGTAGTGATAGCTGTGAATAATCATTCAAAAACAATCATGGACATGAGCCGTGGCGTTCCGGAAGTTGTTCAACTTTTCAAGTCTCTCTGGGCTAGTCAAACCTCAGACGAGGATTGAAAACAACTCAGTGAATTTCATTTGGTGATCTTGTTCTGCACAAACTTCTAATTATCGTTTGTTCAGACTAGCCTTTACAGGGCTCAGAAAGTTTACTTACAGATTACACATTTCAATGACGAAAGTTATTTTTTATGTGGTGGTCTTTCTCCACCGTTCTATTGCGTTGGAATGTTTCCTGGAATGGAAGAACATGGTAGTGAAATGAATTGGCATGACAAAAACCGGCATCTTACAATCCCATCTTAGTCTCATAATCTAGCCACTTTAGATATTTTTTTATCCAAATAATTCCGCACCTTTCCAAGATCTGTGGAGATTGTTGAGACTTCAAGTTTTTTGTGAACAACTTGCCCATCCCAAACTTGGAAGGCGGGTTTTCCATTCCTGCCTTGCCCCTTTTCGCTTCCCCAACCTCCTATCTTTCACCCAATTTCGATTGTGTATCCATATAAATGTAAAGAGAACACGTATTCTTGTAAATTCTTTCCTACACTCTTCAAAAGCTAGTGATTATAGTCATTACAGTTGCAATCATACAGTCTCATTCTACAAAGTCACCGCGATCCCGAGAAATAACGTTCACACTCAAGCAACCTACAATCCTAGAAGGGCTTCATCTCTAGAATACAATTCCCAGACATGGACAGCGCTACATCTATCACATATCCAAATCATGGTAACAGCTCCATTTCCGGTCTTGTTTTCTGCGTAGCAGGGGCAGTGTTAGTATTCGTATTGATATTCATCTTCTGTGGATACGGGTGTCTCAAGAAGAGGAAACTAGAGGCTCAGATCAGTAGAGAAGAAAAAGCGCAAGCTAGAGCACGGCGACTGGAGCAATTTGCCATGATCAAGGTGCCGCCGAATGCTTATTTGGCAAAATCTTGATATAAATTCATGAGAAAGGAGGGAGGGGTTAGAGTTAGAATTATGGAGGTAAAGGAGTTTTATTACCTAGTTATTCATGGAAATTTAGAAAGTGATAGTTTTTTAACTCCTCGCTAATGAATTACCCACATTATACGAATTTACCGACTGCTCGAGTGAATATACGACATCAGGCTACGCAAGTATAAGTGTCATGCTATATCGACTTCCACTACGATCTCTCCACCTCTGAGATTCCAGTCTCATCCTTAAATCCTAACGATTTGGAAGAATTTACACCCGCACTAGCATCATTGTACCTGAATCATACCTCTCGAACGCAAATCGAGATCTGAAAGGCTTAAGTCGAGTTTATAAAGCTCTTCCCACCACTGCAATCACACTCTACGAATCATCGGATATGCAGTCTTATCATCCTGTCGAAATGTGGGGGGAAATGCTGGATTACTTCTACGCCACTGATCGCAAGCCCCGAATTCAGCTAGTCCATTGTGTTTTCGACAAAATTTTGTTGGTCATAGGTTCGTCGCCGCTTGCTGTGGGTTGCATTCTTGGTTTTGTTTTTTGGACAATTACGGCTATCGCTGCGTTTCCTCTTTTCCTAGCAGTCGCGGGTATGATGCGCGTCTCAGACGCTATTGCTCTTTCTTTGGAAAATGTCTATCACATAATCAAACGTTGGACTTCAAGAATCTGGCGCAGGATTTTGGGCAATCGCAAAGGTTTAACAACAGATCTACTACCTACAACCAATACTCCAGTCGTCAATCATATTCCAAAACAATCTCAAGTATCTAGTTTGGCCTCGAGTATCTCCACCGAAACTAAGAACGACGAAAGAAACTTCGCACTTCACAGTAATCCTGTGATAACAACGAATTACATCCCCTCTGGTCCAGTCCCGATATTTCCTTCTCCATGCGCTGAAATCAGAGGCCGATCTAGAGAGACAGATTCGCACGTTACGGTCTTTCCCCCTCCTCCGTATAGCTGAATTTTTACTCGTGCTTGAGTTTATCGATGGCTATGATTAGTATATGGATTTTCTGAGCTGGGTTCAGGAACAGGATACGTTTAACTCGCATTATATATTTCGCTGGACGATCTTGATAAATTCTGCGTTGATTTTTGAGATGGAAACGGAAGGGAAGGGAAAAAATTTGACAAACAGAGACTTGGAGTCTCATGGGCTTTATTGTGCAGGAACATAGTTTTCGATACTAGAAATTTCCACAATAAAGATTCTGCATCTGTTCTCATTCAAAGCTTCAAAACCCGTACAATTGATGATTGCTTGATTTAGATGATTCATCCATGAGTAATGTCTCTAATGTGAATCATAGTTTGTAACTGTAACCACTATCATTGAGTCACTTCACCCAAATGCATTTATTTGCTAGAGTCGTGTCATACACAATATCTTTTTGAATTTCCGAGTCCGTTCGAGATCTTAAGTAAGTAGATTGATGTTTTATGTCTAGACAAACTTGCAATTTAGATTACACCTTCCACATCTACGTTTTCTTTACGATCATTATCCAAAATTCGAATCATATTATCGCATACCAGGAAGTCTGTATCCAAAATACCACAACGTTTTCCGGCAACGTTTCAAAATCTCACTTCCACTTCCACCTCCACCTCCACCTCCACTCCCACTCCCACTCCCACTCCCACTCCCACTCCCACTCCCACTCCCACTCCCACTCCCACTCCCACTCCCACTCCCACTCCCACTCCCACTCCCACTCCCACTCTCACCAAACCACCAGTCTCCCACCTTGAAATTTCCACCCTCTTTCCATCATCAACAAACTCACCCCTTCCACCCCACCATCCCCCTCCCCACCATGGATCCCACCATCCCAATCATGGGCTACATTCTCCTCTCTATCTCCTCAAACTCAAGAAACCAATGCGTTAGAATCAAGTACCAGGATTCCTCTCCGGAGAGGCGGGATTGGGAGACGGGGGAAAGGATTGAGAGGGGTGTTGCCGCTTAGAAGAGGAGGAATGGGATATTGTGAGGTTGGTGGGAGAGAGTAAGGGGATGTTGTTGAGACGGCAGATGGAGGAGAGAGAATGAATGGTAATGATGGGGGGAATGGAATTGATGAAGTGGATGTGGTGGATGGAGAGGTGGAGATACTTGGGGCGCCACCACCTTATACTGGGCGGGGTGAAGTGTGAGGGATAGATTATGGGATGGGGGCTTGAGATGGGATTGGGTATGATATGTATTGATAATGGTATTGTAGACTTTGAGTGTGTATTTTAAGAAAACGCTGAGAGGAGATATGTTGGGATATGATGGAGTCAACGATGATCTAATCCATAAACGGCATTGATGAAAAATATACCATAGCTGTTCGGACAACCAAGATGGTATTTTAACTGGCACGAGAAACCTATTGAATACTATTCGCATAGCTCCTCTCAATTGCTGAAAAATATATCCATAAGAAAGTAATGAACCCCCTCCCTTCAAATTCCACATCTTTTCTTTTCAAACCCAGGTATCAACTCATGAAAATATCTTCCAAATCCCTTTCTTAAAGCCTCGTCCTGTTTATATCCCGACTCCGATATTCCTTGTAGAAAGACAATGATAATGATGTGCAAATGCGTGAATATATAAAACCCCTCCCATTCATAATCCATAAATATCCCGATTTTCTTTTCTCCTTTCTTTCTTTTCCAAATACTAACTTACAAGGTAATATGTGTTACATTGCCACAAAGTAACATCCAACACGGAGATCAAACAAGTCTGCGAGTAAAAGATCCTAGAATCTTCCCCAGACAACCCCCTTCTCACTTTCCCTCTTCTGTCCCGGAATCTTCATCGAATCTCTCACAATTTCCACTTTCTTACCCGGGGCCTGAGCTCCGTCTCTCAATGCTGGTATCGCCGCAACAGGCTGCGCCACCGGTGAAGGAGGCTCAATAACCACGCCCAAACCACTTCCTCTCTGCACCCAAGGCAATTTACTCGAATCCAAATATTTTTCAAACTCCCACGTTCCGCCGGTTCCAACCCCATCTGTCGGAGTATCCATCCCCATCGTCGTATTTGTAAAGTGTGATTCACGCCCACGGCTATTGTTAGTCGTCACAGTGTCATTTCCCGTCCCGGGATGACTATGACTGCCGCTTCGTTCCCGATATGCTTCTGCTTCTTTGTCCATTTGGTTCATGCGTTCCATGCCACTGTCTCGGTCCATGCCCATATTCATGATGCTTCCACTCCCACGGATTTCACGATCGTTATCCATCCACGGTTTTGGTTTCTCGGGATTAGATGTGATGAGAGCGGCCTCGCTTGCAAAACTGAGTGCGCTTAAAGCAGGACTACTTGCACGGCTATCCATATCCATTTCCTCTAGTTCTTCATCCATCTCATCCATTTCAGCCCAGCATAAAGCATCACTACCACCACTCAATTCATATATCTCCTGAGCCTTTTCTTTTCTCTTCTTCTTACGCTCTTTACGACGTGTAGATAGACTTGCGAGATGGAATGCAGGTTTTGGTTCGGTGGGGACCAAATTGAGGTTTTTGTTAAGGATACTATCCGCTGCATTGCTATGGCTGGGTTTACGGGAGATAGAAACACCGGAATTGTTATATTGAGGGTTCAGTGTGAGATTGGGGCTTCCAATTGCTTTACCAATGTTCAGAGACACCAATGAGCGATTAGATGGCGTTAAAAGGACAGAATTAGTGCCCTTGTCGAAGAAACTTAGCTCCGAAGGCGCATTAGAGACGTGTTTAGATTTTTTGTCCGCTTTGTCTTTGCTGGAGATGAAGGGAAGAGGTAAAGGAGAAGAGGGAGCGGATCGAAACGACTCTTTTTTCGAGAGGCTTCGAGAAGTTGATGCGAAGGTGGAAACGGTGTTTGACCGTCCAGGAGTTTGTTTGCGTTGATGTGCGCGGCGAAGAATGAAAATTGTTAGACAGAGGGTTAAAGCTAATGAAGCAAGAATTGCAAGTACAATGGCTGCTATGGTAGGAGTCGAAATCTTTGATTTTGGAGACGAAGGTAATGGTGCGGGATTATTAAGAGGGAAGATTGTAGTTGGATTTGAGGTGGGATAGAATGTGGTCCAATTGCGTTGATGAATGGAAAATTGGGAACGTTCGTAGTCGGCAATCAGATATGCCTCTTGAAGAAATGCTCGTCCAAGTGTGATTTGCGAATTATCGGCTGCTCGTTTGAGAGGGAAATAACGAGTACTGTTTTTTACAAGAGGATACTCGGCCCACCAATCAAAAGCAGCATATGGAAGTGTGATGTTTACCATGGCTTTGGACGTCGAATTTGTGAGAGTAAATACAACAGAGGCATTCCGGTTCACAAGTGTAGTGTGTTGAGCATCAGTCAGTAAATACAGTTCTGATTCTGAATCGTAGGTAATACCAATAGCTTCTTCGAACTTTTGGCATATACTTGTTGGTAGATATAGGTATGGGACTGATGAGTCGATAAAAGCTGGAAAAGAGGATGATGGCGATGATACGACTTGCGACGTCCCACCCGGTGATTTAATCGTGATAGCATTGACATCAATCGTCAAGTCATCGCCGGAAGTGGCAAAATCGACAGTAAGATTATTTGGTATAAAGAGAGATTCTTCATAGCCACCTAAAGTAAGATTGCCCAAGACTCCTCCACCATTGGCTCCCCCACCATTACGATAATAGGCACCTGCAGTATAGCCATATGATAATGATGGGATATGGCCTTGAGACTTAAGATTGGACATATAACTTGGGATAGGTTCAGTTTTGCTCGAGAAATTTGTAGGTGCCGGATTAAGACCAAAGAGACCCATCCAAAAGTCATGAGTGGCGATTGTTGCGAGCACTTGTGAGCCTAAGGAGGGAGATCCACTACCCGGGGATCCCAACACGATGGTATCGTTGCCATAGTCTCCATTGCCAGTAAGTCCTAGACTGGACTCAACTTCCAAAGCAAATTCACCTCCGAGATTAATGGAGTTTGGGACCCTAAAGTCTTGTTAGTGCCATGATTATACAAAGTATCTTATATGATCCACGTACCATGTGGTAGACGAGTTTGAATTAAAATTCAAACCTCTCGAGCTATAACATGTTCCTGGGTCTGATGAGGTACAACCATCTGGTGATACGACCCAAGGTTGATTACTTGCTGTTGAGATGAAGACCAAGATAGGTTGAGGAGGTGTTCCCACTGTAAGCCAGAAGCTTGACCAATTCCCGTCAATACCATTCCTAATGATATCGTTAACAAGTGACGTGCTAAGATAGACGCTTGAAGATCGACAAAAACTTACCAATTACCACTTGGAAGGACAGTGAGAGGAGTAACAGGGGTTGATGAAGTTTCTGAAGCCAAAGTCTGCTCAATAAAGCCGAGGGTAGGCAATAGGGCGAAGACCAGATACCTCCAAGAAGACATCGGCATTGGAAAATATCATTAAGGAGAGTTTCATAAGATTAATAATTGTTGAAAAGACAGAACATGCTGGCTATGATACAATAGCTGGTAAGGAGAGACAAGAAAGAGAAAAGAGAAAAGACGAAAACAGGTTCAAACGGCACGAACGAGGTGTAACTTGAACACAAATTTCCGACAAGATCTGCATCAAGACGGGAAAGTCTAAAGAAAAGTACTGTACATAGGAAAGGTCGAGAACCTGGAGGATTCGAAAAACGTGCTGTGCATACCGGGCACCTATATGATACTACCATACTATCATTTCGTGTGTCAGATAATTTCAACTGCCAGGATCTGCGGATGGATAGGAGGAGGAAAAAACAGCTTCTATCAAATTTGCCTAGAGCTTAGAATGGTGCTACACACAGAGAGGGGCGAGATTGGACAGTTAGCATAATTCATGAGAAGGATTCATCTTTGGCTTTGTCATGAACTATATGTGGTATATGACTAACCAATCTTCAATCACCATTTCGTAGAAGCGGGAGGTTTATAAGACCATAGGTCCACCAGTCTGTATAACCTTGGGGCCGAAATCTATCCTCGCTTGGTAGATGGATGACGAAAACAGAAGGTACCGCACTAGTCTTTATGAAGCTTTTGTGTGGCTCTGTGTAGCTATGACAAGGGAGCTTGAAGGTAATTCCGAGGTCCCCATACTGTACTCTATTATAATAAGTCTATCAGGAACCCCGAGAATTGTAGCAAAATGATTTCAGTTGAGTATTTGAAACACAACCCCGTGGTAAAACGAGGCTCTCTTTCATTACACGACCACCGAGTTGATTGATTTTTGATCCATTAAATCTGGATTCAAAATCCTCAGTAAAGCTCTCAAGTTTTCAAAGGCAAAGTGATGCGACAATGTGCTGCAATTCAGAGTAGCATCTCCCACCCTGACCTTCCGCTTCTTTTTTTTGTCAAAAGAAATCAAGGGGTTGATTCTTCAAATCCGCGACGATGTAACGATATCTTCGTGTCATTTGATTTCCACATAAAACCAAGGACCCTTGTTTCCAAAGGATCGGATTAATCGAGGTTGGATCCTTACGAAAACGTGGAATAGGGATGATGATGAGTGAGAATGTCAGACGGTTAGTTTTTTTTGGTGGTAATTGAGATTTGAAAAAGATGGTATAGTTTGTTAAAATGTGGATTGTTACTTTGGAATGGAAAGGAGCTGTCGGATTCGGAGACGCGGTGGAAGCCGGTCGATTTGTCTCTTATAATATTTCATGATTTTTTGAGTGATCATGGTTGCGAATTTTACAATATTATGATAGACAGTAACGAGAGCTCTGGAATGATATATATGCGTAACCTTACATTATTAAGGTGTTCATATCGTGTTGTGAAGTCTCAAGAAATACTTAGAAGGTATAGAGGGCTCGGGTAGATTGAGTAGATTACTACTTCGTAGATAGGTAGGAGTAGGCATGAAGAAAGCCTAGACTTAGGTAATCATTAGGTAATCATACGCTAAATACTTTTAGTGGCTAAGCAATTCTCATACACGGCAGTACACTACGGAGTACATTACGAGACTACCTCGAGACTACCCACCACCACCATCATCATCATCGCCATCGTAAAGAGCCCCCAAAGAGACCATCCTCTAATGCATTCGAGTCTCCTGTGCAACTACTCGTTCATACACACACGAAACAGGCAGCCGTATTCGATTTTTGATTCTATAAGCCATTTTTTATTGTAGCCTCCAGTGATTCCCAGTTTTCTCACATATGTTTGGGCATTGTGATACGAGGAGGTACACCAGTACAGCAGATATTGTGCTGAGAAAAAAACACTTCCTCACGTCACTTCCAGCAGCGTTTAGACATCTGGAAATGATGAGTGTGTTATACATTTCCAGATTTGCCACCTGAGCCTTACACTACTGATCCTCCCACTGTACTGCTAATCGGATAAATTACATTATCGCACGAGGGTACCTGTTTAAGTGTATCTACCAGATCTCTAGGAAATCCGTCTTACTCCAAGGTTTCTGGTGATATGGAGCGATGTTACCTCAGAATATCTCCGCCTCCAAAAATATCCTGAGAAAGAGAGCGAGAGAGAAGGAGAAAGAAGAATGCGCAGCCAACATACTGCATTGCACCCACACTCACACCTACACTCACACTCACACTCACACTCACAGTGCACCCACACCTAACTAATTCTCCAGGTTGATCGAAAACGGCTTCTATCGTTATCTGTAGGTGCCTCGGGTGCTTCGTTGTTTTCCCTTACGCAGTGTACCTATTTCTGCAGGGGGCCACATCTATTATATTGAAGTGTCCACTAGGATTACTGTATTTTAATTCAACCGAGTCTTATTCATCCCATCACAAACTGGCACAGCCGCTTTCGTGACCTTCCTTGATCTTTCTTGATCCTTCAACCTGCCGCTCCTCCCACTCATTTGTTTACGAATGATGGAGGCTCTATATTTGGCCCATGCATGTTGCTTACGGTGGATTTAAGCTGCCGAATGGAGTAAGTCACTCTATTTACGATGCAAGTCCATTAGTGTCAGGTACAGCATCGAACTCTTGCATCAGCAAATAATTTAATGAAGATCTCGTTGATCAGCCTTCCATTCCATCGCGAAGGGGAAAACCACCCCTGTAATTTTTAGGATGGGGATCTAACTTGCTACTTTCTCAACTACCAAGTGACTTAACTTACAAACCCAACTGTTTAATATATTTCCAAATTTCATCATGAGATTGTTCCGTGATGCAGGCTCGTGGGTGAGCAATATCCTACCTAGGTACTCAGCCCCAGGGTTTCATTTCTTTCAAGAAGAATATAGGAACCTCCTCCTCTTACAATTCTGTTCTTTTCCTCCTTCTCTCGTCGTTTGTCTCTTTTAATTCTATGTCCTCATAAGACTTTATCAACGGGTTGATGCCCGGCGTATTGTCCCGTTTTCACCATGAAAGTTTTTCCAGTTCTTCTTCTAGGCACCCTGTCTCTTCTAGATCCAGTAACCGCTTCTTCTAAACTAGACCAAGGTAAGACTAGTCAATATTGGTTTGTGGGATTGGTTCATCTTGTGGCGTTAAGTGTTACATCTGCTGATACGTTCTTTTCTCCTAGATGATGTAGTTCGAAGGTATACTAATGGAACCTCATCGTCGCATACAACTTCTTCTACCATATTATCAAAAGGGTCTCCGACCGCCACACTCATTTCATCTAGTATATTGTCTATCTCTTGTACGGCAACAGTTACCTCAACAAGCGGCCAGCCCTTACTAGCTGCAAGAGAAGCTTGTCCTACCACTGTCACTATCGTTCATACACCCACATCGATTCCATCTACTAATAAAGCTGTCCTTGAGGAATCTGCTTCTGAAAAGGCTACCATTAAAACCTCGGCCGAGTCATCCGTATTGAAAGAATCGGTACACACTATAACCTCCAATACAGATCTTAAGTCGAGTCCTACTAGTTCCCACCCAGCCTCCTTATCATTGCAGTCTTCGAAAACTTCCGTTGAAGTTTCCGATAAATCTTCAAATACTGCTATCGCTTCTAGTCCTATCACCTCAAAGTCAACTGAGCCAATAAGTTTAGTGACATCAGAAACACTTGGTAATCCAACCCAGTCCTCAAGTATCTCTACCACACCCACTGCGTTGCATTCAAGTGTTGTGGGTGAATCTTCATTATCAAAGATATCTGAGTTATCTTCGAAACCACTTTCTTCGACGACTTTATCTAGTGGCACGATAACAACACAAGCCTTCACACTGACAGTACCGTCAGCTGAATCGACAAAATTCCTTGCATCTTCAGAAACTATCAGCTCATCCGTCTCGTCAACGCATACTGATATATCAAAGTCTGAGCCTTCAATTATTTCTAGTACTTCCAAGTCTACCGATTCCTTATCCTCAAATCTGATTTCTACTACCAAGAGCGAGTCTATCGCATCCAGGACTTCTAATTCTGCTTCATCTACGACTGTGTTCTCGATATCCTCTTCTAGAACAATAGTCTCCCAGCCAACTGTTCCAGCTTCTACTGTTCCAAATTCAAAATCTAGCTCTGATGCTAATTTGGTATCTTCAGGTGGATCATCAGGGACATTGACGTCAAAAACATCCGAATCTTCTCTTCCTTTGACACATGAGTCCAAGTCTGACGCTAGCTTGACCCAACCTTCAAAAACTTCTACCTCTAGCTCTCTTTCGAGAGCTTCTGAGACTTCTGACCAATCGACACGTGAGTCAAAATCGGAGATTGGATCGGAGCCTTCAAAGGTATCGTCAAACATCTTGACGTCCAAGACACCTGGGCCTCCCTCTGGTCAAACAACACCCGAAATCAAATCGGAATTCAGTTTAACATCTTCTGCGCAAGTACCTACTACGACTGTAGTCTCGACCTCTGAAACATCTGGATCATCCATTCAGACAATACGTGAGAGCAAATCGGAGTCAAGCCTATTCCTCTCCGTAAATTCATCAGTTTTCTCAACTTCTACAAGTTCAAAAACGTCTCCTGCTCGAATAACGCAAGAAAGCAAATCAGAAATAAGCAGATCGGCCTCGTCAGCTTCATCAGTTCTAGGCCTCTCAACCTCGAAAGCGTCTGGGGTACAGACTCAAACTCAAAATCAATCGACTGAAGAATTGAAATCCACTACTGTAGCTCGACAAACCGTAGTGTCTTCAAAGACTAAAACTCAGACTTCTCCTACTCAAACCACTCAAGAGTCATCTTCGGGAAAGCAGTCGAGTACTCACAGCCCAATTCCCGACGCTACGACATCTCACAGCTCGAGTGTACAATCACTCTCTTCGTCTACAATTAAACAGTCACAGACTACATCTCATAGCTCGAGTGTACAAGGACAAAATTCTTCTGTAATCAAGCAATCAGATACTACATCTCATAGCTCGGGTTCACAAGGACAAAGTAGTACATCAGAAACAAAAATTACGAGCAAAACTACCGAGACTTTTATTACAGAAAAACCGGGAACTACTTCTCAAAGTACAAAGCTTGCAAGTACCAGCGAGAAATTGAGCACCTCTACACGAGTACTTGAAACTGCTACAACAAGTGTCAAATCATCAGTCAGTGAAACTCCAAAGCATAGCAGTTCAGTAGAGGGAGTATTTACATCGATTAAGACCTCGGAAGTTCATTCAAGTAGCACTGCCTCCTCCAATCGCTCAGAAAAGACTGAGACTACAAAAACAACTGAAGGAGCTTCTCATATATCCTCTTCATTACCCAGTAAGACTGCCGGTGATACTTCTTCTACTACAAGTGAAAACCCCAAGGCCTCGAACTCGTCTCTCGCGTCTATCAAATCGTTATCTGATAAGCAATCGACGACTTCTGATACAACAAAGCTTTCAACTTCAGACATTACTTCGAAGACAGGGACGGCAAAAGAAGTAACAGAACCTACTACATTGCCTACAAGTAAGGTTCAGACTTCAAGCCAAAATACTAAATCAGAATCATCGAAGTCACATTCCTCAAAGACATCTGCGTCGACACAAGGAGAATCAAGCACGAAAACCACATCCACTCAAACTTCTGTCTCTAAGCCATCATCAACAGAAATGAATACGAGTGTTATTTCAGGTTGTACGGCAACCCTCTCGGTTGCCGGTCAAGTCTTACAAGTATGCCCACATACTATCACCCTTGATTCATTCTTTTCCACTTCGAAAACACCAGGTTCTGTTTCACCTACTAGTATCATAGTCTCGACGAGTGTTTCTGCTACTTCAAAATTGGCTGAAACCACTAGTAAGATATCTGATAGTACTTCTGCCACTTCCAACCCAGCTACTTCCAACCCAATTACTTCCAGTCCAATTACTTCCAGTCCAATTACTTCCAGTCCAATTACTTCCAGTCCAATTACTTCCAGTCCAATTACTTCCAGTCCAATTACTTCCAGTCCAATTACTTCCAGTCCAATTACTTCCAATCCAGTCAGCAAATCGCCAGATGCGCCTACCTCTGTTTCTCAAACCAGTGTACAAACAACCAACCCGATTAGCAAGTCTCCAGATACATCTCCATCGGTTCCTGCAGCCAGTAACCCAACAAACCCTGTGTCTGTCTCAGAGACTAAGCCGGCTGATACTACAAGCAATATACCACCATCAGGTTCTACAGTTCCTGGATTCATTGCAGTTCCTATCACTTCTAATCCAGCTACGAGCAAATCACCTGACGCCCCTACTTCAAATCCGGCAACCACTAGATTGCCCGGTCCTCTTACCTCGATCTCAGCAAGTAGTACACCGGTCGTACCAGCTGCGACGAATTCATCTGACTCTCCTACTACTAATGTAGGAACCACCAAGTTACCTGATGCAGCCACTTCAAATCCAACAACCACAAAGTTACCCGATTCGCTAGTTTCACCTACGAGTAGTCCTGTGACTTCAAACACTAGTAATGGCGGAGGAGATGCTTCAAATATTGCCCCAATAACATCGCCGACTACTAAAGCTCAGACTGAAACTGTCAAAGCTATCTCAACTCCACAAGCAACTTCAAATCCCGTGTCTGTACCCGAAACGAAATCAACTGATACTGCGACCAATGTTGCACCAACAGGATCAACAGTCTCTCCATCAATTGCATCACCGCTTGTATCTAATTCGGTTGGAACAACGAGCAGTGTACCGCTACCAGTTACAACAAGCAATGTATCACCACCGGTAACAACAAATCCAGTATCTATTCCGGGAACTAAACCAGCTGATAATACTACAAACACATCATCCCCACTAGTATCTACAGTTCCTGGATCGACGGCAACTCCATCTGTTTCTACAAACCCTGTATCTGTTCCTGGAACAAAGCCAGCAGATACAGCTCCAATAAGCAATCCAACTAATACTGCAACTGGAAGTCTTGCATCTCCACCTTCATCTACTGGAACTACTGGAACTACTACTCCTGCTATTGGAATCCCAGTTGGACTACCTAGTGACAAAAGTACAGCCCTCTCAACCACTGGAACGAGTGATGTCGTCGGCACCCAGCCCGTAGCTAGCAATCCTGGAATTCAAACGGGCGGGACAGGAAAATTACCTTTGGTATCCGACACCGCTTCCATTATTTCCAGCATCCAAGTATCACCCACCAGCGTAAAGACCAATCCCGATGTGACCACTGTAATTTCCAGCCCGACTATAACTCCAACAACTATCAAGCCTTCACCGGGCCAAACCACTATCGCTCCCGTTGTATTCAATTCTCTAACTCTCAGTCAAGGAAGCTCTAACTTCGTAGTCGGGTCACAAACCATAAAACCCGGTTCCGAAGCCACGGTAAGTGGTGAACGTATCTCCATCGCTCCATCCGGCTCTGCAGTCATCATCAATGGCGTAACTACAAGCACTACGCCCACGCCCACTCCATCCAATGGTGCCAAGGCCGTTCTGTCAACCACCACTGAACCGCTCCCTGGTGTCGTTGTCGTCGGAACATCTAGTGTAACAGCCGATTTCACGAAATCCAATTTCGTCATTGGAAGCGCCACTTTGACTCCCGGAGGTGCGATTACGCAGGGAAGTACTATTATTACTCTTCCCCCTAGTAGTACTACCTCTCTTCCTTCAAACGTCGTGGTAATTGGATCTTCGACCTTTACTAAAAATTCCGCCTCTGGAGTTGTAATCGGTAGTCAAACCTTGAAACCTGGCTCAATTATTACAGTCGATGGATCTACTGTTTCTTTATCACCTACTGGAAATGCGGTGGTGGTCAATGCAAATAGTGGATTTGTAACAAGTACTGCTTCTTTGCAAAGTGTAGTTCCGTTGAACAGCTTGGTCATTGGGGGACAAACGCTTACGGCTGGAGGAACAGTGACGGAGGGTGGAGATATATTAAGTTTGGCTGCGGGAGGAACAGGGATTGTGGTCGTAGGGACTATGACTGTGGGTGCTGGAGGAGCAGCAGAGACGGCGAAGAAGAAGAGTGCGGGTGTGAGGATGAGTCTTGGTGGATGGGGATTACTGTATTTACAGGTTTCTTTTGTACTTTTGGGGTTGTTGATGTGAGTGGGCTTGTAAAGTGCCGGTTATTTAAAATATTTCATCTTACGACGGTTGGAGGTTTGGGGAAAGGAAAAGAGGTGTTCATTTTTTATATTTCTATGTTACAGAGGAGGGTTTGTAGCTACAAAACAGGATAATGAGATCATACTATAGCGTTCAGCGAGTGAGCGAAAAGTTTTGGATTGTCTGGAGTGGAGGGTGTCGTTTTTCTTTTCTTTACTTTCGTTATTTTCTTTTGTTTTTTTGTATTATTACTATCATATACCTAGGTATCAAAGTCTTTGTATCTACGATCGATATCTGTTTATGGAAATGAGGAATTGGGGGGTGATGGATGGGATGTTGTGGATTGCATTGTAGGAGAGACACGATTGGATATGGATTTGATCGTAGTGTAGCCATGTAGCGGTAAATATATTCGTATATAATAATGATATAATGACACAATATTCATTATGTATATACCTACTGAAAGATATGGACTTCGCCGAGAAGTGAGGATGTTAATGAAAAGTCCGTATAATACTAACGCTTGCGGAATGAACGAAAGCGATAGCGAATTATGATTCATACTTGAAACTTTTACATACATAATCTATGTATATTTCTTTTTACAGTCCCTTTGCTCCTATGACTAATTAATGTATCATTTTGAATCAACATGAGTAGGATATTCATATTTAGTATAATTACATTTGTCTCTGCTCAGCTATGTATGGGTACTGGACTTATCATCTAACGTTGTATCGATGGATTTTCACGAAGGATTGTAATCCTTTCCAATATTCTATCTATGTGTCGTTTATTCCTTCACACTCTAAATCTTACTCTGCAAATAGAATCCACGGAATGAGACGAGATGAAACCGAGCCCAAGTCGTAAGAAGTAAAGTTCGCAATAGGAGTAAATGAATCTATTCCTTCTTTGCTCTCTTACTTGCGAGGCCCTCGGTCATACATTGAGCCACATCTTCGACAGTTTTTCCTCTTTTCCTCTTTTCTGTTTTTTCCTCTCCGAGAACTGTTTCATCTGCTACAGTTCGGTAAACATCGGCAATTTCTCCAAAGACACCTTTTCCATCGGTGGACTCTCCGCCTGAGAATCCTGTTTCCCCGTGACATATTCCGATTTCCTCCATTTCTCTTACCCACCTATAGGCTTTTGGGGGCATCCCTGTGATTCCTCCATTTACCGATTTCCATAAACCAGGTACTCTCTCGCTCATCTCTTTCTCCAATTCTCCTAAGACGCCCAACCTTTGAGCGGATGTGAACGCTTGAATGCATAGGGCTGTGAATCCTTTCGTCGTACTAGCGAAACAACATTTAAGACCTGATGCCTTGCCAATTTCCTCGCCGAGATAATTGGTATTCAAAAGATCTGCTAAATGTGCACCAGATACAGGAGCTTTGGAAAGTTCATGAGGTCCGGAGATGGGGATCGAAGGACGGCTCCAAGCATGTTCTAGGTCTGGATCTATAGATGCCGTGGTATTAGGAGTAGTGGTGTCGTTCTTGAGTTTAGGTGCACCGCCAATGATTCCGCCATCGATGAATTTGATAGATGGTGATGCGGTACTAATATGAGAAGCGACTGAGCGAGCGGTAGCAGGAGCTATGGCGTTTAGATCGAGATAATAGAGGGGAGAAAATTTTGGTGGAGAGAGCGAATTAAAGGCGGTAGTAATCCGAGTTGCTAGTGATAATGCATCACGGGGTGGAACAATCGAGAGAATGTAGTCCGACTGTGAAATCAGGGATGCATCTGTAGGTAGAAGTTCGATTTTGGATTTTTGAGCGCGATCATGGGTATCTTGGCTGAGTGGAAAGAAGGTGAGTTCAATGTAGAATAACGATACAGTAACGAAGATTTTCATGAGTATATATTTGCAATCATCAACTTTGATGATTGGAGAGGCACATTAGCTTCTCATCTTACGACTTTTAAAACGGATGATAGAATGGCTCATCCATCACGAATATCCTCCCAATTTCATTCCAAACTTGACAGTTCACAGTACTTGAGATGTTCATGTCTCAAGCCGAAATGGTCTATTCTTTCGAAATCAGAGCCAGTTTGATGATGAGTTCTCCATGGGAACTACACTCACTTTAAACAGTTACTGGACAAAATAGGTCATAGAAAATAACACAACCAACCTTCGACCCTCAATATTCGTCACAACTCGATAATTATGAGCAATGAGCAACTTTGCAACACCCATACCCATTTCTCCCATTGAGATGATACCGACAGTAGCAAGCGGTGACATTTCGAAAGGCTTTAATTCAAGAAGAAGAGGGACTGGATCTGCGAAGTTTGTTATCTAGATTGTATTAATTGCAGGTTTGCGATTTCGGAGAAGGAAAGAACGGCAGTTAGTTTATCTCATCCTCAGACCACACAGTGATTACATTAATTTTTTGGCCTTGATTTTGAGGTATAGGCCTCCCGAAGGTTTATCACTATAGAGTTTGAAACAATTTGATTCTAGCTTTAATAGGAAAACCAATAATTTGTTATTTTTTGACTTTTTAATTAAAGATTATAAATTATTTAATAATTATATTATTTTGATATAGTTTTAATATATACAAATAGATTTTCTTATTATTTTGATATATTTTTTATTATAATAACTTTATTCAATTATATATATATATATATCAAAAATATATATTTTTGAAAATTAATATTTTATTAAATTAAATATCTATTCTCTTCAAAATTTATTAATATTATTATTTCTAATAATAATATATATATTTTGAAAGTCCTCTAATTATCACGGATCGCACCCAATCGCAATTGCGATTGCTCACATACGCACTTGCGCACATATCTAATCATGTATATATAGTTAATATATAAAAACATTTTATAAGTACTTTACTCTTGATTCTATAATTATAGATTCTAAAAATAAATTATATTTTGCTTTTATAGTTTTTTTAAGATAAAATGTTATATTATTTATAATTCTCTATATAATTATATAGTTATCTGGTAGTTATTTAAATAATATCTTATAATTATAATATTTTTTTAAATAAATTATATATCAATATTATTTATAGGAAAAAAATCTATTTTAATTAAAACTTAATAAAAATATTTCTTCAAATATATAAAATCATAAATATTATTATTATATTTTTTATATTATTTAGCTCAAATTATAACTTATTTATCTCAAAAGACTTATATTATTCATCTATTGGTTAAGTTTTTATATCCGATAATAATCAATCTCAAAAGAATAATAATGATATTCCTTATAATTTTAATATAAATATAGGTAAATATAGAAAAAATAAAAAATACAAAATTGATTTTTCGATTAAAATATTAACTCTTAAAAATAGCAATTTAGAATTAATTTTTTAAGATTATAAAGAGTAAATATCAATAATAAAAGTATTACAAAACAAAATTATAAGGTTTTAATTAGTATTATTATAATATAATTCTAGTATCATTTATTTGTTTTATTTGTTTATATAGTAATAATAATATTATATAGATTTCTTTAAAAATTATAAAATTTGAATTTCTAATATTCCTATTACCTTTATTAAAAAGATATCTTTTATTCCTAGAAAAAAGAAAAATAAGAAAAAGATTTATTTATAAAGTTAGTTTTCGTAATAATCTCTTTTTTCTTTTGAAAATAATTCTTATTTGTTAATAATTATATTCAATTATAATTCGCTACCTTATTAAATATCTTACTTTTATTTTAATATTATTTTTATAAAAAGATTATATATTCTAAAGCTCATTAATCTTTTATTCAAATTTAAAGATAATATAGAATCAAAAACAAGTTTATAACAATTATTAATTACAAAGCGATTAAAACTATATATAATATTGTTTATTACAAAATCATAATATTAATTTTATATAATAAATTAAACAAAAAGGAAAATTCAAAAATATTTGTATTCCTTATATATCCAAGTTCTTTATTTAATAGGATTCTAATTAATTAATAAACTTATAATAATATATAAAAACTCTATAGAGATTGACTATATACAAACTAAATATGAATATTAGATTATATCTAATAATACTCAAAAAAGCAATTTTGTAATATAATATTGAAAATTTCGATTATTTATTATTCAAATGGAGATTATAGATAATAAAACTTTCTTTTGTAATTTGGAAAGAAAGATATTTGATTTTTTTTGATAAATAATCAATTTATATATTAAGAATTATAATATTATTAAAAAACTAGCTAATAAATTTATAGAAATTAACAAACTCGAGATTACTATTTGAAAATATAATTACTATTAACTAAATAAGGAAATATTAATTAAAAAAATTAATATTATTATCTTTATATAAAATATATTCAGAAGTATAATTTGAATATATATTAATATAATTCTATTTATTCAGATTTATTCCTAATTTATTCTTTATATTTCTATTAATTATATAAAAATCTTTAAACCAAATAATATTTCAGTTTTAGGAAATAGCTTTATTTGTAATTCCATATTTCTTATTATAAAAACTAATTGTAATACTATTCCCTATATAAACAATTTTAATATTATAATAGAAATCCAGAAAATTAAAGAAATTAAAGATTTTTATAATATTAAAAAAAATATTAAAAAGAATCTAAATTTAGAAATCTAAATGAAAACTATCGATTTCATTATAAACACAGAAAACTAATATTTAAATCAAAGTATTTAGATTGAAATTCCTATCTAAATATAATTCGGAATATAAGATTTCTCAATTTAATAAAACTAATAAAAAATAATTTTATAATTTTATTTTGTATATTCTTGAAAAACAAATATTTTTATAATATTTAATTTCTTATAGATTTTAAAATGAATGATTATATTTTTATTAATAAAATATTTCTTTTATTATTATTTCCTATATTTAAATCTTGTATTTTATTATTTAATACTATTATTGAAGTCAAAAGCTATAATAATACAAAAGATAAAACTATTATTTATTATATATTTCTTAATTTTATAATCAATATTTGATAATAATTATATATATTATTTTTTATTATTAATTTAAATTTATATAATATAATCCTAGATTATATATAGATGATAGAGGTTTAAATTAAGCTAAATTACTTTAATTAATATCTCAATTAGTTTATAGAATATTCTTTTATTATTTCTTTATTAAAAAATATATTTTTAATTAGGAATAGTTTATAAGCTTTTAGAATTAGTTATTTGAAATAATAAAATACTAATAATTAAAATACCTAATTAAATAAAATATATTATAAACTAAATAATAATTGATAAAATATAATAATGATTTTATTAAATATATTTATTATTTTTTTTAAAAATATTAAAAAGATATTTTTGATATCTATCAAAATTCAAATTCTAGTAAATCTGGGGAAGAAATCTGTTTTCTCTAAAATCCTTATTTAAGCTATATACAAATCTTTATTTTTTTATATTTTCAATATATTCAATATCTATATATTCAAATTAATATAATTCTAATTTACTTATAAAAAGAATAAAAATTATAAGATTTTTATAATAATATATAAAAAGATTGATTATATTATATTATTCTAATATTCTAATCAAAAAATTGAATATTGTCTTTCTATTATAATTACTATTTTAAAAAGTTTTAAATCAGAAATTATAACCACCTTCAATTATATTATTATAAATATTAAAATAAAATCTCTAATTTCTATAAACTATTAATTATATTATTAAGTATTCTTTAAATGTAAGTTTGATATTCTACTTCTCTTCCAATTATATAATTACAAAATTATATTAGAAAAAAAGATAAAAAAGCTTTCAAATATAGTTTTTTATATAAAATATTATTTAAATAATTAAAAGTTATTAAAGAATATATTACCAAAAATCTGATTAAAGGATTTATAGAATTTAATTAAATTCTATTTATAGCTTTGATTCTTTTTATAAAAAGCTAAATAAAAGCTTATAGTTCTATATAGATTTTCAATTATTTAATTCTTTAATATATAAAAATAGATATTCTTTATCTCTTATTAATAAAATACTTATATAATTTATTAATACAAAGATGTATATTAATTGAATATTCAATAAATATTTTATTATATTTATATAAATTCTATTTTCAAAAAATATATTATTTTCTATATTCAATATAATTTTTATAAATATAAAGTTTTATTTTTGAATTAATAAATAATTCTAAAATTTATTAATAATATATAAACAATATTCTATTTAATTATTTAAATAACTTTTATATTATTTATCTAAATAATATTCTTATATATTCTAAAAATAAAAATAAATATAAAGAATATATCAAATATATTCTTAAATAACTTGAATTCATTAATCTCTAAATAGATTTCAAAAAATACAAATTCAATATTAAATATATTAAATATTTAGATTTTATTATTTTTATAAAAAATGTATAAATCAATCCAGAGAAAATTAAAGTAATTATTATTTAAACTTATTCTATTATTATAAAAGATATCTAATTGTTCTTAGATTTTTATAACTTCTATTATTGATTTATTAAGGATTATAGTATAATAGCAAAATCTTTTTATAAATTTATAAAAACAAATATTAAATTCTATTTTAATGAAATCTATTAAATTATATTTGATATATTCAAAAATAGATTTATTTCTATTTCTTTTCTATAATATTATAATTATATACTACTCTATATATTGGAAACCAATATATCCAATAACATAATTACTAATATATTCTCTCAGAAATATAATAATAAATGATTATTAGTTACCTATTTTTCGAAAATAATAGTTGTTATTAAACTGAATTATAAAGTTTACAATAAAGAAATACTTGTAATTATTAAATCCTTAGATTACTAGAAAGCTGAATTTGCTAAATCACTATATCAAATTAAAATATATATTAATTATAAAGCACTTGAGTACTTTATATCAATAAAACAACTAAATATTCAATAAGTATATTGAATAGAATTATTAATTGATTATAACTTTATTATTATATATTATTCCAGAAAAAATTATTTCTTTATAGATATATTTATATATTATATTAATAAATTGAATTAATAAAATAATACTAAAAAAAAGAATTATTTGTAATAATTTATAAAAAATAATTAAATTAATATTAGAATTATACATAAATCTCTTTAATAAAAACCAGATATAATTACAAATCTCAATATTAATGTAATATTATCACTTTTTGATATAATTAATTATATTATTAAAGA